AAGATGAAACTTAGGTTCTTGAAAGCTCTAGTTTCGTCTTCTTCCTAATGTTTACCTTCCACAGGTGGCTGTGAACCCAGCATACCAGGTGCAGGAGGTGGAGTTTGCCTTGCAGAAGGTGAGCAGTTTTTTTTTTCAGCCTGATTATGTTTTCTTTTTTTAAATTCTTGGACACAGAGACACATGCATATGTGTGACACGTGAAAGTTTAACTTCTCTGCTCCTTTTTTTTTTTTTTTTCCCTCGCAGGTTGGGTGCAAAGCTGTAGTGTGCCCTACGCAGTTTAAAACCCTGAATTACTGCGACATGCTGAGGAAGATCTGTCCAGAAATCGAGACGTCCAGCCCAGGAGACATCAAGAGCAGCAGGTATAGACCCGTCGAAATGTGATGTTCCCTCCAAGCATGAAGGCGGCAGGTTTAACGGTTTAAAGATTATTGTGACACTAACACTGGCCATGAGGCTGATTTGTATCCTTGGAAGAACCAAAGATGAGCTTTTCAAATTCGACTGGTGGTTGGAGGCTTTTAAAACAGAAGGTTTTGCATTAAAACTAGTGCAAAAACAGACATGCTTCATATGCTGATAGCTTCTTTACATTGGACATTGCAAGGTTTGCTGTTAATCATTTGGTTGGTTCAGTTCCTTTAAAGTTAACTGATTTCTTCAGAACACGTTGCTATTGTCTGTTTACCTGACTGATACTCTTTACTTACAGCTTTGCCAACCAACAGATTTCCAGCAGTTAAACATCACAGCCTGACCGTCTGATTGTTTGCTTTCCTTCCACCAGACTCCCTGAACTCCGCTCCGTGATTGTTTTGGACAGCCGACAGCCGGGCATGCTTCACTTTGAGGATGTGATGCAGGCCGGCGGCAGTCAGCACATGCAGCAGCTTCAGGATCTGCAAAAGAAAATCTCGTTCGATGACCCCATAAACATCCAGTTCACTTCGGTAAGTGATGCACAGTCACTGTTCTCTTCTCACTGTGGCTGGATGGCATGCAAAAGATTTTGTTGCCACAGGAAATATTTCAGAGTTCAACAAGTAATTATTATAAGACCTTAAACAACCTGCTGCAAGGTCATTAAAACTTTGAATGTTAGTAAAGTTTAAACTGGTGAGTCAAAGATTCACACACTGTACAGCTGCAATGAAGGGGGAAACTATCCACAGAGAACAAACTGTTTTTGTTAGAGGTGGTAAAGAATTTTTTTTCATGTCCAAAGTTTGATGCTTTAACATTCATGTGTGTGGTGCCTGACCAAGAAGCAACCTCCTGAAGAATGGAGCTGAGATTCTTGTTGACCAGATCCCACCCACAAGGATGCTGCAAATAATCCATAGTGTTGTAATCTCCCAGGGACGATGGGAAAGGATGGTCTGTGTCCCTCCATGGATATGCTTCTGCAGACCATCACTGACCCACCACCACACCAGTCATGCTGAACAGTGTTGCAGGAGCCTAATGTTCTCCACGGCTTCTCCAGAGCCTTTCACGTCTGTCACATGTGCTCAGGGTGAACCAGTTCTCATCTGTGAAAAGCGCAGGGAACCATTAGCGGACCTGCTAACTCTGGTATTCTATGGAAAATGTCAATTGTGCTCCACAGTGCTGGGAAGTGAGCACAGGGCCCACTAGAGATCCTCAGGTCACCCTCATGAAGCGTGTTTCTGATTGTTTGGTCATGCACAGTCACACCAGTGTCCTGCTGGAGGTCATTTTGCAGCTCTGGCAGGTCTCATCCTGTCCCTTCTTGCACAAAGGAGCAGATACTGGTCCTGCTGAGGTTAAAGGCCTTCTACGGCCCTGTCCAGCTCTTATAGTGTTACTATCTCATGGAATCTCCCATATGCTCCTGAGACTGTGCCGGGAGACGCACCAAACCTTCTTGCGTTGACACGTTATTGATGTGCAATCCTGGAGGATCTAAACTACACTGACTCTTGCCAAATGCAAAACTAGTGAAAAACCATTAGAAAAGATGAGGAGGTAAAAAATGTCCATGGCGTCCAGGTGTAAAACTATTCCTGTTTTACAGGTTTGTCTCATTGTTGAGCCTCTAGTGCACATGTTGGTAATTTCATTAACACCAAAGCAGCTGAAACAGATTAACAACCTGCTAAACAACACAGCGAAACACCTGCAGTCATAATGAAGACAAAATCAATCATGTCCATTTGACTGTTTCTTTCTTTTTTCTAGTCAGAAATTGTGAATATCTAATCTTACAGTCCTAAACATATCGCATAATTTCAATGTATTATTATTTTCTTCAGTGTTATCTGGTAATAAGGTATCATGCTGTCTGATAAACGTCTGCAAACACAAAGACAACAGATTAAGTCCTACTTTATGGCTTTATAAGTGCAGTAATGTGAGAACAATATTTTACCAGGGTACAACTGGAGCTCCAAAGGGTGCCACCTTGTCACATCACAACATCATCAACAACTCCTACTTTATTGGAAGAAGACTGGGATACCACTGGAGAGTAAGTGAATTAATCAGGAATTCACACCATTAAGACCTTTTTAAATAATTTACTGATTTTAATTAATGTCTTTGTTAAAGTTTGGGCTTTATTTTATTTCAAAAATCCACGAAAGGATTCAAACTAACAAAGAACTGATCCTGTTATAAACTATTGTGTTTTTGCTTAAAGTCTTTTCATTGCAAAGTTTTTTTTTTCCTAATTTTGACTCCTTTATTTCCTCGTTTTCCAGCCTCACACTCGAGTCTGTGTGCCAGTGCCTCTGTACCACTGCTTCGGCTCTGTGGGTGGCGGGATCTCCATGGCCGTGCACGGCATCTCCACCGTCTTTCCTTCCAGGGGATACGATGGAAAGGCAAACTTGGCAGCTATCGAGAGTGAAAGGTAATGTCAGAAGTTCAGGCTAGGATGTAAAAAACACGACACCTCTAAGCCTACAGGACTGTGTTGTTGTGCGAGTTAACAGAAAGATATTTGATCTTTAATACGCTTGAACAAAAGGTCTGAGACTATAATCGCCTTTAAATCTGGAGCAGTGTTGTACCTTTGGGTTCCAGGATACCATCAAATTAAAGCAACACAAACTGGTTTCCACACGTCTCATGTTTCCCTGCTTAACGATGATTAAAAAAAAAAAAAAATTTGTAACTGTAATCTGAGTGCATCTCATTACTAACACAGAGGTCTGTGTCTGATCCTTTCTTACGGACTAATGGAGATTGTCTTGTGTATTTGTGGCATGTCTGCTGATTAAAGAAATGAGCTTTAGTCACCATTTAAAAACTTTGTGTTCATCTGAGTGTTGATCTCAGAAAGTCAAATATTGTTTTACTGCATGAAGCTGGTGAGCCTTAGTCTCAGATACTTCATGAATGAGATCAGATATTTCCCAAAAGCACTTCCTGTGGCCTTGTAAACTGCCCCATTAGGATAACATAAACCGTGTGTGTGTGTGTGTGTGTGTGTCTGTGAGTGTGTGTGTGTGTGTGTGTGTGTGTGTGTGTGTGTGTGTGTGTGTGTGTGTGTGTGTGTGTGTGTGTGTGTGTGTGTGTGATGTCTCCCACGCTTGCCAAAGCGCAATGTATCCATGTTTTCATGTTTACAGCAAATTCTGAAAATTTAACAAATGTTGTTTCGTCTGACTCTCAATTTCTGCAGTGAGCAAATGTGAAGTGAAATTTAGTTATATTTATAGAATACAAATTCAAAACAACAGTCACCTCAAGGTGCTTTATATTGTAAAGTGAAGACCCTACAATATTAGAAAGAACCACAACAATGAGATGACCCCCTATGAGCAGCGCTTGGGGTTAGCAGGAAGAAACCTCCAGCAGGACCAAGCTCAGGGAGGGGCGGGGCCATCTGCTGTGACCGGTTGTGTGTGGAAGAAAAGAGGAGAGATGTGAAGTTTGATAACTGCTATTTAAAATGTAGCTTCAGTTTCCTGATATTAGGTGACGGGAGTTGCGGCATTCTTTTTTTTTTCTTCTTCTTCTATTGACAATTCTCTATAAACCTTAGAGATGGTTTACAGAAATGCTCAGTCCTGTGTATACACTGCCACCCCTCTTGTAAAGGGAGTAGAATTTATAATTTATATTAGTATAGTATTGTCTTGTTTATTTTTGTCTATTTTCTTCTATCGTGCTTACTATGACTGGGAGAGTTCTGCACAAGAATTCCAGTGTGCCTTGACTGCTGGTTTAAGCACAAATGGACTTTGAGGCCTCAAAGATAGAGCTGAATGTGTGACATCACGGCGTCTGTGTACATCATTTATATACAGTCTCATCTGTGGTTACAGTTCTGCTTTCTCTGCAGTTGTTGAGTTCTTCTCGGACTCCTGTAGTCACCTGTTTGATGACAAAAGTGCATCATAACCTTGGATACAGTTAATTTGCACTTTTGGTTTTGGGGTCATTTCCTGTCTTGACACAGTTTTGTGTTTTTGGTTTTTTGTCCAGTTGTTATCATATGCAGATATTACATTTATATAAATACGTAATCGGTAACAAAAAGTGTTTTTGTTAACGAATATTTTAAACACTGTCCAAATGTTCTCTTCTCAGGTGCACCTTCATCTATGGCACGCCCACCATGTATGTCGACATGCTCAACCAGCCGGACCTCACTAAATATGACTTGTCATCAGTGGAGGGAGGTGAGAAAAGAAAATGATTTTTAAAGTTCATTTTCTGATTTTTATTTTTTTGCATTTATTTGCTTCTGTTTGTTTACATCTTTGAACTTTAGGCATCATGGCTGGTTCACCCTGCCCTCAAGAACTTGTGAAGAAAGTTTTCTCTGACTTGAATGCGAAGGAAATAACAGTGAGTCTTTTTTTGTTTCGCCCCCCCCCAGTATAAGGTCAATGTTTGATTTATGAGTGATTTAATGGTGCAGTTTAACCTTTGCCCACTAGGGGGAGACAAATCCTCAGAAAAACGACATAATGGAGTGAGTTCTGATTTTTTAAGGTAGAGACACAACAGTAGGCGTCTTGTAGGAAGGAATCTGTAAAAAGTTTATTGGATGTTAGCACTTCCAAAAGTCCAGGCTGAATATACATGAGCTATGTCTGAGGAAACCCTCTGATTTGCTGTTAGATGCTTGTTTAAAAAAAAAAAAAGTGAAAAGTGACAATGTCTCACAAAGAATTTGCTACAATGACCCTGCATTCATCTTCTTATTGACCAGGGTAGAAAAAAGATGGCGATTCACTGATCTTGTCCTCACTTTCAGTCTTTTTGGCCACTCTAAATGTCAGTGAAGGTGTGCATGCAGAAACGAGGATAGATAAAGTGTCGTTGTTTGTGCAGCTCTTCACGTTATCCTCTGTTTGAACTGAGCTGTTTTCAGCTCCTCCACCTTTTAAGCCAACTTTTGCCTGATTGGCTGTGTCTTGCAAACAGAAGGTTGAAACAGGAGCTGAGCGGGGCTTCCTCAGAGAGCCACGTTGAGGATATCAGCTCATCTGCTGGGGCTGAACTCGAGGCTCTTTAAAAACGTGGTTTAACATGTTGAAGAAGACACTTTTACCAAGAGCTGAACAGGAAGAAAAACAGACAAGCAAGCAACCACGCACAGGTGATTTTTGGCCAATGGTTGATGGGTGTTTCCAGTCTTTCTTTTTAAAGCTTTAAAGACAAGAATGGAAACAATCTCCTTGACACATGAGCTTATTTTAAGCTCATGTGTTTTGTTTTGCTTAGACTGATTCACGGTTTTTCCATTGTGCTGAAAAATTGAATGCACAGGGACGGGATGGAAAATCCCCTCAACGTTTTCCTCATTTACTTAAAAGATTCTCTTTTTTTCCATCCCGTCTGCTTCCACTTCATGCTGAAGACTTCATCTTTGATATAAATGAATGAGAATTATATTTAAATCAAGTCGATGCGTGTTTGTGTGTAACTGAAGCAGACCAAGGGCGATGTGTGTGTCTGTGTTTATGCTGCTGACAGCCTCTGGCAGATGAATAGATGGAGAGTCTTTAAGTAGAAACAGTTAGCATTGCTTTCATTGTAGCCGGTCACCTGGACGGGCTCCTGCTCGGCGTCTCCTGTGGGAGAAAAGACACAAACTCAGCAGCCAAGTCAAACAGTCGGCCCTCCAACCAGAGACCCCGCGACCTGGACTCGGTGTGCTGGACCCCAGGGCCAAGATGGAAACGTTCAGTCTGGGATAGAGGGGGAGCACACGGAGTTCTGTGGTCAAAAAGAGAAAATCATAACAGTGCAACGCCAAATCTGAGCTACTCCAAAACCACCTTAAACCTCATTTGGGAATCCGCTGTCACAATGCACCAAAGTCCAGCTGAAAACCTTCCATCACAGCCGAGATGAGACTTTATACTTGCACAAAACTGCACATCAGGCGTTTGTAAAGGCCAGCGAGCGTTTAACTGTCATTTAACGGTCTACAGTTTCCAGTTAATTATCGCTCTTTCAGAGATGTCTTCACAGCTATTTGTTTATCTGTCAGTAAGGCTGTAGAAAAACTACAGGGCTGACTGTTATGAAACTTGGAGAGGTGGAGCGGAGACAAAGAAAGAACTCATTAAATTTCTTCATGTCAGAGTGCTCTTCTGTTTTAAAATAAGCATCGTTTCACAGCCTGTGTGGGAAGCAGATTCCTCTTTAGATGTCTTGTCTTTAGGAGCTTTTAAAGATGGGAAATTTGCTGAGAGTTGACACTGATCACATGTTAAACGTTATGATCAGCTTGGCATCAGACACTCAGAAGCTGCTTTGCATACTTTGCATTCTCTAAAATGATTTAAATACAACCTCAAAAGAGCCACACATGACAGATTAACTTGTAGTAATGACTTTCTCTGTGACTTGATCAGACTCTGTGGAGGAATTTTGGAGCACTCTTTTAATGTTGCTTCGGTTCCCACCAACGTATTTTAATCAGTTTGAGGTCAGGTTCATTGCAGCGTCTTGATTCTGTTGTAGATTTGCTGCTGTGCTTTGGATCGTCGTCCTGTTTCATGTCCCACAGCTAAAGCTCGGCTTACAGAGGTCCTCACATTTGACTCTAGAATACTTTCGCGTTCAGATGAGTTTATGGTCGACTCGAGGACTGCAAGGTGCCCAAATAGCGACTTCTCAACCACTGTGCTGACAGTTGGTACGAGGTGTATGTGCTGATGTTCTCCAATCTGTGCATTATAGCCAAACATCTCCACTTTGTTGCAGAAATCTTTCTTTAGCTGCAACTTTGCAAACCTGACCCAACTCCTGGCAACCTTTGCAAACGAGCCATCATTGTTCAGTCTTTCTATCTGTAGTGTCTGGGTCTAGCTCTTCTGCAGTTTTGCATGCTCTGATCTTGGGATAATTATTAAAATAAAGGACGACACAATTTAATGTGTCACTGGTTGAATTTTCTGCTTTTTGTCTGCAAAATATAATTAATTTCTTTATTTTGTTTTGCAAATAAAAATGTTAGCGTTTATGTCTAAGTTAAATTTGTCCTCACATATAGTAGTAAAAAACGTTGTGTTTTCTCAACTAGAGCAACAACATCATCACTGATTTGTTATCTTTTTCTCTTATTCTGGTCTTATAGAAGGCTTTGATTTGTTATAATTTACATCAGAAAAGCTCAACTTAAAGTGGCGGCTGCTCTCCCTGCCTCATCTGCTAAACGGCCAACACAAGAAAACAATCAGATAATTACAGAAAAGCTCCCTGGTATTCCCTAAAGCCCAAGTTAAAATGTTTAGATCTTATTTTTACTTGGCAACAGGAAAAACAGGCAAAAGAAACAAAAAAGAAAACCAACAAAACTGTCTTCAAAAGTACTTAAAATTGCTGACATGATCATTTAATTTATCAACTGCTGTATTGTGGAGGCAATTTAAAAAAAAAAAAAAGCCCCTGGAAGTCAGTGATCCCAAACCCTCCCAAAAAGTCAGAATATTAACACCTAAAAACCAAAACTAGTTTTCTTTAGAACTTTTCGATATTTTAATCGGTGAGCTTTAGAGGTGCTGATGCTCCAAGCCCAGGTTTCCGGTCTTCATGCACCACTTCCTGGCTGCAGCTTCATATTCTGAGTAGTAATCTACATTTCCTCTTTTCGTCATGGCTTGTTCGGTACCTGTGGGCCGTGAGTTCATTGGCGCATGCCCTTTTTGGCCCTCGCTGTCTTCGGTCTGCAGCGCTTGAAGCCAGTGATGTCTCTGACCTGCTTGCCCTTATGCTGATTCGGAGATGCGCACAGTGCATCTGGACGGTTCAGGCTTGGGATCGAGTCCATCCACCTGGAAGAACCCAAAATATGAGAAGCATGAAGGACCATCTTTCTTATTTAATACAGTGTGTGAACCTGAATAGACACTGTTTCCTGTTCGATAACCGTGAAGCTGCTCCTGTGTTTGTAGCTGTCAGTGATGCTGCAGGAGTTTGCTGGTTGGCTGAACAGGCTGATTCTTTAGCCTCGACAAATGCTGGATGATTTAGCAAAAAACGTCGTGCAGAAAGTTCCCAGAGGAGGAATCATATGGCTTTAAAGTCAGTGGCGCTACCAGCAGAGTTTAGCGTAAAATTACATGAACGATACGAATGGATTGTATGTTACAAATTTCATGGCAATCAGGATGAAGAGAAGCAACGTTATTAAAGTAGCACAAAGACTTCATGTGAGAAACGGATGTATCCACCATATCATCGTTATGTGGGGGATTTAGCTTTTTGGGACCTCAAGGTTTTTATTTGTTTTTTGAAGGGACCATGTTTAGGTAATATTCAAGTAATTTTTTAATGCAGTTATTTTATGCAAAAGAAACCTTGCATTCTTTCCAGTGGCCACTAGGGGGCAACTGACTGAAGGTTGAAGAAATCTGAGAAACTCCTTTACATTTCTTGATTTTATGACCTCGGGGGGGGGGGATTCCTAATGAGTTTATTGTATTACAGAAATCTTATTCAACCCAGCATGATGTTCACTTTGTGACCGATTGGCTCGTGTAGAGTAAAAAACAGATGTGAGATGTGAATTACTGCTAAACTGAGTCACTGTGAGTAATGGTTGTTTGAAGCACAGTATAAATGTGCTTTTTGTGTTGTCTTTAAAAAAAAAAGGTGAAAATTTTGAAATTAGAAGAATAGTTGGATTTTTTTACAACATAAATGTGCAATTCTGCCACAGTTTGTGTTTATAACATTTAAATATATCACAGTTATCATCACGTGCATATGATGACATTGCTGCTTTATAATCTGAGCTCGTTACAGTTACAATATGCATGAATTATTTTGTGGCTTTTATTCTTTTTTTCTAATTTTTTTTATTTTTATTTTTTTAATTTTTAAAAACAATTTTTTTTTGGAATGGAAAAATATCAAAAGTCAAAATATTTAAAGATCCCCTCATTCCAGGAATCCTACTCGATCGTTAGTTGAAGATCAGCTTTGAGTCTTACTTGCGCAGTGGAGCTATCTGGCAGCTGCAGTTCCACGGGTTGTTGAAGAGGGTGAGGTTGGTGATGGTGTTGAACTGGAGGCTTTTGGGAATTGACTTTAGCCTGTTGTTTTCCAGGTGAAGCACCTTGACCGTCGTCACACCGGTAAACGCGCCGTCGGATAACTAGAAAAATGCAGAGCAGCACATGAGCTGTATTTTATTTCTGTTTTTTTTTTAAGGGAGTGGAAATCTACCTGAAACTTGCGTGAAATATTGGTAAAAATCTCGGGATATCCTCCATATCTGTCCAGGGTGTGGGGGGTAAGGGTGGGGGTAGAGCGAGGGAGTCGTGCCAGCGTTTTCCTCTTTGGAAAAGTGTTGGTGCAGGAGGAAGGATGAGAGGTGGCTTTCATCCCAAACACTGACAGTCTGTGAACTCTTTCTTTCCTTCACGGGTGCTAAAAGCTTCAGAGAGGTGCTACATGAGCTGACGTACATCAAGTGTCGTCTCCACCAGCAGGAGGAGGACACGGGCGGATGAGAGGGGAGCAGAGCTTTGCTTGTTTTATGTAAGACTGGAGGAGAAGAGGTCGTTTGGAAATTTCCACTGCAGAGTGAGAAGTCGCTGGTGTTTTGAAGGAGTGAAAGATGGATGACTTCCAGCCTGGTCGAGGTGTGTTCACTCCTTCTGTCGTCTCAGTCTTCGGGATGCTGCCATGAAGGCTCGCAAAGGCCCCAATTGTCCATTCAGCTGGGCCAATGGCAGGCTAAAAATACTCCTCTTTCATGCACCGTGGAACACCCTGCCTCTATTTACCGGTCTCCTCAACCCTCCTGACCTGTTTACAGGACCCTCACAGCCAAAACAGAAAACGCCTCGCTGAAAATAACACTTGTGCAATAATTAGACTCGGCCACGCTTGGCCATACTCCAGCAAACAAAAACAAACCAAAAATACCAGCATTTGGCTGGAAATCTGCTTAATCTGCCCCGGCCGTGTGTGCTGGAGTCGGCGCCTCCTGCTGCTTCCACCTGGCTCGCGCACAGCCTCAGCGTGAGAAGCTTGTTATTTTACAGTTTACCTTTCTGGGATGCCTCCATATTTTGGCACAGGTACACTCAAATATTGGATTAACCCTGGAGTATGAGGCAAACATGCTCTCGAAGAGCTTAAACTGTACGCGCTCCTGCTGCAGCTGATGTGGAGGAACAGACGGGCGTCCCACAGGCTGCTGTGAAAACATCTGTCTCATTAGGTTCAACTCACTTTCTCATATGGGGCATTAAAATGGTCTGTTTTAATCTAATTTCTGGACACGTTCCAATTTAAATACAGCAGTGATGAGTAAAACTGCAGTCCAGGGCACAAGGGAGGATCCACAGTTGGAGTCACTTCCTCTGACATGTTTGGGTTGTACTTTTGACCTGCCGTCATTGAAGAGGCTGATTGGAGCGTGTTTTTAAAGGCACTGTTGAGACCATAAATGTAAAGTCCAGCTGGAATAACCAGTAAATGCATTTAACTCTCATTTCCCCTTAAAAGCTACAAAGAGGTTCAAGTCTTATACCTCTTCGCTGACTGACAGGATTGGCTTGTTCCACCCTTTAATTAAATCTGTAATTGGATGCCAGGTGCCAAAATACTGAGTTTGTGCTTAATGGATGACCCTGAATTATTTATCCAAAACAGTTTCTCAGTACCTGGTTACAGCGTGAAGAAAAAAATAAATAAAAACTACGGGCCTGGTTGAAGCTTTAATGCACACCCCTGCTCTTAGATTCTGTTGTTTGACAGCCTGAAGAAAAATCATTCTTTACACGCCTGCATGTCACAAACTTCTGACTTGTGACTCCTCAGATTAAAGTAAGCATCTCAAAATCCCCTGATTATGCAAACTGTTGTGCTCCTTGTCTTTGAAAAGACCTGTTGAATCACAGTTTTGATCACCACAAATCAAATCTCGTACATTTACCCTGACACCTGTCCGGCTTTATAAGTTCACTTATGCATCTGTCTGCATTTGCTAATTCACTTCAAAATAAAACTGAAGCTCAAGGTCATACTTGTAGAACGTTTTAAGACCCCACAAATTGAAATGTAGTACAGTTAGGTTTAATACGCACACGCTTCTCAGTAGATCAACTTTTAGAACTTCACAGCTTTTTGCTAAACTCCTGCTCTGATCTGCATCCGGAGAAAGATCCCGTTTGGTTAAGCACATGTGTACCCTTGAGCATCAAACATCTGCTGTTTTCGAGAGATGGAAAACTGCAGCAGCAGCTTTGCATTATAAGCATGAACTGAGACACTTGTGGAGGAAGTGAGAACGCCCAAGAACACAAGACTGGCTTAAATCTCACTCTTTATGTAAGCTGTAATCACGGGATTAATGAGAGAAGACTATTGTGGGGGCACTTTTGTTCTTACCTGTTACAAGGAGGATGGTTTGGAAACTGCACTCATATAAATTTGTAGTTTTTTAGGGAAGCAAATATTAAGTCAGACATGCAGAGACCTTATTATGACATAACTGTTTTAGTTGGGCACAATGTTTTCTTAAAGCTGAGCCAATTAATTCAAAAGACCTTTACAAAGGCTGTCTTGTACGTTTCTTCTAAATAACCTGAAGATATTTAAGAGTCTACAAGCAGTTTGAAAAAGACCTAATTTCAACAGGTTGTTTAAATTTCAAGCCAAAACTTCTAGCAGTGACGTTTGCCAGGCTTGATGCTTTGCCAGTAATAAGCCCAGTAAAACCACAGACTGACCTTCTCCAGACCCATGTTGTCCAGGTGTAGTTTCTCCATATAGCGCCCAAAGCTCTGGAAGGCGTTGTCAGGGATAGTCTTCATGGGGTTCTTCCCCAGCGTGAGCTCCTCCACCACCCGCAGTTTGCTCATTGCCACGCTGGGATAAGTGGACATCTTGTTGCCGTCCAGGTGAAGTTTGGCGAGGTTCTCTACGTCGTCCAGAGAGCTCGCGTGCAGTGTCGTCAGCTCGTTGTTACTAATGTGCAGCCAGCGCAGGTCTTTGGCGCCCGAGAAGGTCCCCTGACGCAGCTCCCGCAGCTTGTTGTCGCTGAGCTGCAGAACAAAGAGGTTGATCATTGGGGAGAAGATGCCCTTTGGCAGGTCGCTGATCTGGTTCCCGTCTAGGTGGAGGTAGGTGAGCTCGGTGAGATCCTCAAAGGCACCGGGCTTGATGGTGCTGATGTCATTGTTGGACAGGTAGAGGTAGACGAGCTTGTTCAGCCCCTTGAAGGCCTGGGATCCGATCTCTCGGAGGTGGCAGTGTTGCATGTGCAGAGAGATGAGTCCCTTGCTTTCGCTGAAGGCTCCCGTGGGTATGCTGCCCAGGTTGTTCCTCTGCAGGTTCAGCAAACGGGTGGCCTCCGACACCCGAGGGATCTTCTTCAGCCCCACGTTGTCACAGATGACGTGCTGAAGGTCACCGTGGCAGTGGCACTGGCTCGGGCACTGGGCCGGGGCACCCCGCACTACGATGCCCAGCATCAGGAGGCAGGTCCACAGCAACAACCAGCTCACACAGCGCATCCTGAAAAGCTTGTAAATGTAACTCGGGTCAGTTAGAAAAATCCTGCAAAAGTCTCAGAGATCTGCAGAGAAATGTGAAGAGCAAAGGCGAACGCTTGATCCTGTTTGTTTGTGCTGAGAAACAGACGGACAGAGGAGGAGAGAGGAGGTGGGCAGAGCTGAGAGACACTTTGAGAGGAGGATGGACAGAGCACACAGCACTATTTATAACATTTACTTGAGGAAAAATACTGAGGAGGGCCTGCCAGGGTGTTGGACTGAGAGATCTGCAGGAGGAAGTCAACTGTCTGAGAGTTTAACCCTAAATGAGCAGAAAGGTGAACCTCAACTAGTCTTTTTCTTTGCAGCTGGCTTCGTTTTTGCAGGATTTGCAATGAGCTTGCTGCAGGATGCACACCTTCAGACAGTTGATAAGAGTTTGTAACGTTTGATTAACTTCCAGGTGCATGTTAGACAACGTGGCACGAGGTCAGCTTGGCTCTGTGCTCGCTCCCAGACATCGCTATTGTTTTTTCAGTCTGCGGTGGCAGGAAAAGGAGCCACTCCTGTGTAGCTGTTTTATAACCTATAATAGTCTCCAGATGGCTTTTAAGTCCTATTGCAAAAAAAGATACTTCCATCATCACAGCAGTGAAAGTTTTAGATGCCACTTTACATTCCTGTGTGCATTCCTTTGTTTTGTGGTATCATGCAGTGGTATTTTTCCAGACCTCTGTGCAAATGATGGAGTGGCTTAACTTTTTTTTTTTTTTTTTTTGTAATGAAGAATATGATTGGCTCAGGTTAGTGGATGGTTTGGCTTCAGGTGCGTGCGTTTATGAGATGAATGAACCCACCCAGGATAAACGGAATGTAGAGTTTACTTAACAAATCTAACATTTTATTGGCAATATTGTTTCCTGTGTGACTTTCCAGGTGAACGTTCTCACTGCAGCTCCTGTAAATTTCCCTAAAAGTCCCGTCTCCAGCAAAGTTGAACCTTTTTCTAGTGCACCTCCCACTTCTTATAAACGTAGTAAAGAAAGTTAAATACATGATATATACCATAAACCAAATTTTAGAGTGTAACATAGTCAGAAATGGATGTAGTGCATGGCAGTAATTGAGTGAATATAAAAAGAGCTAAGAGCTCACATGTGTAGTTAAAGTAGAAAAATGACTCCATTAGTTTGACTTTGTAAACCTTTATTTTTCTGCCATGATGGATTTTTTATTTTGAAATGTTGAATAATGAAGTACATTAGCTGTGTAACATGCAATAGAAAATAAAACACTGACTATGGTAAGAATTTATTACTGCTAAATTATTTTTATTAATTCATTTTTAAGTAATAACATCAGATATTTTCCATTTCCAACTTTGCCTCCTTTTTCTCCTTTTATAAAGCACTGAGAACTGCTTTATTTTAGATCAGTGTGAGTTTTCTTGCTTTATTATTTTAGTTTGTATGTCTTTATTGTTTAACTGTGGTGGTGTCTAGTTTTATTTTGTAATATTCATTACAGACTGTTCTCTTTTTGTGTGTTTCATTCATATACAGTATGATACTATGATGCAGTCATGCGTGTCGTCATAGTATCATAGCATTATGTGATTGGTCAGATCAGCCTTGTTGGTCCACTGTGTGCTGCTAAAAACCCCTCTGAGCCACTGGGGCATGGCTGGATACAGGACCTCTGGAGGCGCCCCCTAGTGTCTGACACTGGCACTTTCTTTGTTTATCTACAGGATGCATCAGAACAATTTGGTTTTTATTGTGGAGACTTTTGGCTTTTGTTTGTTTGTTTGTTTGTTTGTTTGTTTTTTTAAGTATTATTTGGACTCCACTGTGTTTCAGTCCCACTTGCTCATATCATTGCTTGTTTGACAGCTTGGATATGGCACCACGGAGAACAGCCCCGTGACGTTCCTCGCCTCCCCACTGGACAACGTGGAGAGAAAGACTGAGACTGTTGGCTACATTACAGATCACTTGGAGGTAATTTGGCATGCTTCTCAATATAAATACTGAAATGCATTAAAATAAGATTTATGTTGAGTGCAAAAACTCATCCAAACAAAACAATTTGGGGAGGGCTGAACACTTGAATAAAAATCAGCAGGGAAGAAAACTTTTATTGTGACAAACAGTTATCGATGAGGGTGAATATTGGGGGAATATAGGGCAAAAAAACAAAGTAATGGTTTCAAAGAAAGCTTGTACTAGCCTGAGTGAATCAAAACTTCACTTCTTTAACTCTGTGCAATACACCAAAAAATGGTTGGTGAATAAAAGTATGAATCATGAGTCACCTGCTCCACAGGCTAAAATAGTGGACCCTACAACCGGGATGGTCGTACCTGTGGGTACCTCAGGGGAGATTATGATCAGAGGATACTGTGTGATGCTGGAATACTGGAATGACAAAGCAAAAACAGATGAGTGCATCACTAAAGATCGGTGGTACAAAACTGGGTAAGTTTAATATCGTTGACCATAGTATTTTATTACAGCGATTAGAGTATTCTGTTACAGGTACTGAACTGTGGTGGTTTGAATCATATCTTTCTGATAGACTCCAGTTTGTTCATGTCCTCTTCAGACACTAAGGTTAATTATGGAGTTCCACAGGGTTCAGTACTAGGGCCAATTCTGTTTACATTATTACACATGCTTCCCTCACCAGTATCATTAGAAGGCATAGCTTATATTTTCACTGCTATGCTGATGACACCCAACTTTATCTGTCCATGAAGCCAGATAACATACACAAATTAGTTAAACTGCAGGAATGTCTTACAGATATAAAGACCTGGATGGCCGCTAACTTTCTGCTTCTAAATTCAGATAAAACTGAAGTTACTGTACTCGGCCCTGAAAATCTTAGAATACGGTATCTAACCAAATGCTTACTCTGGATGGGATTACCTCAGCCTCCACTAACACTGTGAGGAACCTTGGAGTTGTTTTTGACCAGGATATGTCCGTCAATTTCTTATATTAAAGTTTTAGCTTTTTTTTTTCCTTTCCATTGTCACAAAGCGCTTGATCATATTCTGATTGTTGGGGTATTCTCTGTATCATTGTAGACCTCATAATATAAAGCACCTTGAAGTGTTTCTCTGTAACAAAATTGAAATAAGAATATAAATTAAATCTAATTGAAGTCTTTAGTTAATCATCACTACTTTACAGCTGTTAGTATTGTCTGCATTTTCAGGCAGATAGGCTTTAAATATAACATCTGATTCTGTTAAAAGGCTGATTCTCTCCCATCCTTGTTCTTGGGCATTTAACTGTTTCTTTGTCCTCTTGGCCAGCGACATCGGCAGCATGGATACATACGGCTACTGCAAGATAGACGGCAGGATTAAAGACATGATCATCAGGGGAGGAGAGAACATTTACCCGGCAGAGATCGAGCAGTTTCTGCACAGACACCCCAAAGTTAAAGAGGCACAGGTGAGCTCAAACAGCAAGGGCTGAGCAGTAAACCTAGAGGGTGCTATAGGAAAACAACAAGGGAGACTAACTGTACTCAATTATTCACTAGAAATTCTGTCGGTGAACTTCAGAAGCGCACAGAGTAAGTTTTATTTTAACATCAGACTGGCGTTCACTAAGATTGCTACAGCAGAAATTAAATTTTACTGAACATTGCTGCTTCCACACTTCAGAACAAGTCTTGTTAAAACTGTGTTAAGAGTGTGGCTTGATATTGTGTGTCATCAGTCTGAATTTCTTAACTTTTCTTAACGCCTATTGTGCATTATTTACAAGTCCAAAAGACAGGGTGACCCCTCCAACACACCACTCCCCCCATCGATGTGGCTAGGTGCATAATTGTTGGAAAGACACAAGTTTAGTCTCTGTACACCACCTCAGTGGATTTTAATCCAGCGGTCAAGAATGCACTTTCACCTTTTTAATTTGGTGGGGAGTTTTTTGCATTCCAGTTTCAATTAAAAGCCAACAAGAATGAGAGCACACATGTGATTTAGATAAAAACGAGAAATGGAAAACTTATTTACAGTGTCGTTTAGTATAAATAGAAATGATAACAAGCTTCTGTCCAACTTGCGTTTGGCAGCCGTTCACTGTAACACTCAATGTCTGGTCTAGAGGTTCATAAGTGATTTAAAACTGTGGAAGTTTGCCCAATTACTTTTGAGCCTCCTGAAAATGTGTCTTTAATTCCTAAACAGTTGATGCAAGTTATCAGTTGAGCCAAAGTTTTTGCACTTCAGTCACACTTTGATTCAAAACCTGCTGCAGCGGTGTAGAGATGACAAATGCATCAGCTGCAACAACGTAAAAATAAAGTGTTATAAAGAACACGTTTAAAGTCGCACGAAAACCATAGAGTCAGTGGAACATGCAAAGCGGCCTCCAGACTTTGCCAGGTTTTCAGTTAGGACACCCCCAAGAACATTTTAAGAAAATGTTAACATTTAAAATATTTGTTTTTTTTCCTTTAAATTTTTTTTATTATATTAACCGCTTAAAGAGTGTCTTGACTTGGCTTAATCTTTTGGCCCTTCATGTGATGTCTAATCCTCTGTATTTGTCTTAGTTTCGATCTTCGTGTGCAGCGTTTGAATGTCCAAAGTTCTGTTCAGATATTTAAGATTTTGTACTGCTGACTGTTTGCTGTGTGATTCTAAATGTTCCTCGTTTCCTGCTGTTTTTCAGGTGGTGGGAGTTAAAGATGAGCGTATGGGTGAGGAGATCTGTGCCTGCATCAAACTGGTGGATGGAGCAGACTGCACTGCAGAAGAAATCAAAGCTTACTGCAAGGGACAGGTGGGGCACAGTTCCCGTCTTATATTTCATAATGAGCTGGAATTGTGTTGCACCATAATGAGCGCTGTTCATTTGCTCCTTTCAGATCTCCCACTTCAAGATTCCTCGTTACGTACTTTTTGTAACCAGCTACCCACTCACGATCACTGGAAAGGTAATTTCCTCAGTCCTGGCTCCTCTACCGAGCTCATAAAAAGCAGGAATTTCTTCCAGGATTCTTACAAATGACATAAATTAATCAGCAGGTTTAATAAAATGTCATTCATCCTGAGTGAAAAACATCTGTATTTAGCAGCTGCTGTAACAGTCTGCAATAATTTAGGGGAAGGAGAAATCCAGGATGAAAACACAAACTCCCCTCTGGTTCTTGTGTTTCTCTCGTGGGATGCTATTTAATATCATTTACTGTAGACTTGGCCCTGTGTTTGAACAGGCTTGCCCTGAATGCTCTCAGACAGGAGGGACGGGAAGCTATTAGCTCGTCTGCACGCACACTATGGCCTGTTAGATGAATCCCAGAGGGCTGGCAGGCCGTACTCGACCTGGACCATCAGATCAGATAAAACCAAAACCTCGATTTGAGATTCCTTCTAAACGGATCAAGTACAATATGATAAAACTTTCAGAAAATTGCAAAAAATGTTCTGCGTTCATGTTATAATTGTAACTACTCATTTGTGTCTGCTCAGATCAGCGGGTGATTGTTTGTGGCATTCAAACACATGGAAGTTGCAGAATGCCCTCTGATGGACAGAATATGCGACATCAATGCAACGTTGATTGAATGGTGTTTCTCTTGTCGTTTGTTTAATTTTAAATTTTATTTATCGTGGAATATTTTAGTTGAGCTCTAAAAATCAACGTCACTCAGATAAATATGAAAGTTGGGAGGAAATTTTCCGTGGTTCAAAACTACTGGTGCATTTTTGGTTTGCTTGGAGATTTCTGTGTGAAAAGAAAAGAAGCCAAACCACAAAAAAATGCTAAGAGTTCACAAACTGGGGTAAATCTTGACCACAAGGGTGACGTCAGTAGTTTGTATATTCTGCTCTGATGTAGCTAATGCATTGTGTCGGTTTAAACTGATTTTTGCCATTTAAGAAAAAAAAATACTGTTGGTATTTACGTAGAGAGCAGAGTGACAAGTTGCATGTAAGAGACTGATCCTTGCATGTGTATTTCTGGGAGTTCCTGTCTTGAGGCATAAAATATGGGGGATATATTGTGTCGATAGCGTGTCGATTTACGTTTACGACACGCTATTTAGCACTAATTCTGCCAACATTTAACGCAGAGAAAGAGCACGTCTTATTTTTTTATTTTTAGAAAACTGCACAACTTCTGTAAATCACCCGTAAAACTAACCACACCCATTAGCGATATTTGGGGTTTGCATTCACATGTTGTTTTGTCCAATTTAGTAAAACTGGCACTTGTAATCCAAGCTGACGCACCAAAAACTTCACTATCTAGTTGTTGGATGAGTTGTTACGAGGTGGGAAATTATCCATAGAGGTCAGACCAGGCTTGTAAACATGTTTATTTATGCTGTAAAACTGTAACATGTAACATGGAAGTCTGTGAGGACTGACTCACTTTTGGAGGCAGCCTTAAGTGGTCATTAGAGGAAGTAATCGAATTAGATTCACTTGTAGTTTTGGCAATTTTCACAGAGATGCATTTGACATCTGAGTGCTCAAAGCTGTTATGAAAGACTCTTAGATTGATTTAAAATAATTATTTATTGTATTGACCCCAGTTAGTGACAGATTTTAATTTGCGTTCCGATTTCTTACGAATTAAATGGAATCACCAGCCTACAATAAAACACTCGACCCCATTTACTAATAGGTTTTTATATATTCATGTACTTCGACACTGCAGATTTGTCCATTTTAGTGCTCCTGCAAAAAGTTGTTGTTGATTCGTGTCATTCTTCTTTTTGTCTTTCAGATCCAAAAGAACAAACTGAGTGAACAGGTGGAGAAGCAACTGAAGGAGTGAAAATGAAAAGCTACAAACTGTACAGACGGAATTTAATTAATACGTGTGCGTATATCAGATACCAAAGATACAAATTGGGATTGTCAGAACTGGCCAACAGAAAACGCCTCAAGATCTTGTAACGAGTGGTTACAGGGACAATGTAACCCCCCCCCCCCCCATAGAAACACTATTTACTTGTAAGGGCCCTTTTTAAGTGCTTTTGTCTGTATAGGCAGGACAAAGGTTGTAAGGTTTTTAAAATGTTTTTTTTTTAATGATTTTTTTTTTTAATGATTTTTAAAAATTTATAAAAACAAAAATCTTCATTATATGAACTTGAAATAAACCTTTTTACAAATTATTAAAACCAGGCATGCAGGTTCCTCTTGTTACGGGAAGAATGAAGATGTGTTTTTTTTTATTTTTTTTTTTATTGTCCTCGATGGCAGGTGCAGGCCTCTTAAGCTTGCCATTCAGAAATATGCACACATGTTCCACTTTAAAAAACATGAGCTTTAAAGTGAGTGAGCATTGTTCAGAGCTGTAAAGAATTTCCTGACCAGGCTACATGTGCAGTTCACCTGACGCTGGGCTGCTGGATCGGATGTCGTCTCCTGTCTAGACCTGAAGGACTCGGCCCAGAAATAGCCCTTAAGAGCCCAAATGAAAACAAACTGTGCTCCTGGCTCTTAAGAGAGAACCTCAAGGTTTATTTAGCATTTTTTATTTAACATATTTTGGGTTTGGATTAAATGTTTCAGGACATGGTATTCCTACCATGCGCCAAGTACAGGAGGTGGTTTTAACAGGGAAAGGCAAAGGAATGCACATTTCAAGGAGGAAAAATGTGATTTGAGACAAAGAGTGAGTTTGTTCTCCTTTTAGACTCGAGACTTTTGTTTTCAAATTGTCACCATGCATTCCTTTGACTGGGAGGTTATTACAGGTGATACTAATAACCAAACTGTTCTCCCAAGAGGTGAATGCATTGGTGGAGCAATGCATACAAAAGTATCTTGGACTCCCTCATGTGGCAGGAAAAAGCACACAAAAAGGCCAAAAATTTGTTGAGCAAATTTATTTTGGATGAGGAAAAACATCACTTGCGTTCTTGTGGCATTGAGTTAGGTTTGTCTTTTTCCTGCTTCAAAATGACAACGCCTCAATAAAGAAATGCTTGTCCCCACTTTGGTGTGGAAGAACTGCACCGATCTCTGAACCTCAACCACATCCAGAACCTCTGGAGGAGTCGGAGCAGGTTCAACATCTGGGGCCTGATGTATAAATACGTACACAAAAGCATGCTTGGATTTATTTTTTTTCCTCTACACATAATGTGATATTTAAAGAGGAACAATTTGCAAACGACATGCAACCTTCAGGCCATGTCTACGTGGTAGTTTCAAACCTGAAAACTATTTTAGTGGGGAAGGTTGTGTTGGCTCAGAGAACATATCGCATGTGGTGCACATTTATGCACTAAATCCAGAAAGCTGATCTGGTGACTTATCTCTTCCAGACAATGACTGTTAGATTAGAAAAATGCAAGCCATTATTATACAAAGTCAGGCAATTTTAGACTGAGAAGCCAATTTAATCCTCCTCCCTTGTTATTTCAAGTAGATGACAGATTTAGAATCAATCTGAAGTGGTGTACTTACGTTTTGGTGGACCTAACTGTATATCAATGATGCATCATCTTGGTATTTTCACCGCCTTCCAGGAGATAAAACACAAGATCCGAACATAAGCCAGTAACAGACAAATACTGAGATATTCTTTGATGTCACATGTTAAGCAAAGAAATAACATGCTATTAGTTAAGTCTATTCTTGGTTTAGTATACAAGACGATGGTTAAGAGGGACAATAGCATTTCAAGTAGCAAAGGTGGAGTTTTATGTATTTCTGGATGTAGCAAAAGACTTGAAAGAATATGTGATGAGTGCAGTGATGTCAGGCTTTTGATTTAAAACGTATGATATAATGTATGTGCATTTCAACAGAGCTTAGGTTGAGTGTTTAGAATACAAAGCTAGATGAGATGGAGGCAGATGACCCCCCCCCCCCAGAGGGAGAAGTGGGAAGAAGAAGAATTTCCTGATCTTACTGAGCACTGACAGCGCTTCAGACATGAAGTCAAATTTAACCACACGCTTTCATTTTAATCCAGATTTACTTAAATAGCACAAAATCACAACAATAGTCACCTCAAGACATTTAATACTGCAAGACCCTACAGTAATGCAGAGAAAACCCTAACAATCAAACTGCTGCCTCTGACCAAACACTTGGTGACAGCAGGAAGAAAGAACTCCCTTTAAAGAGAAAGAAACCTGAAGAAACCAGGCTCACAGAGGGGCAGCCATCATGTGACTGCTGTTTTGCTATTTTAAGGTATCTTGTTGATGCCTTAAAGACCTCAAACTGGGAGTAAACTTTTCATAATGAAAGGTTTACTCACAGTTAATGAGAGAATTACTTTATTAATTCCAAAAAAGCAGCATAATTTTTGTCAAATGAATCCATTACTTCTTACCAGCGGATGTCCAATATGTTTTTATTTTTTTTTGAACAACATTTCAAATTTTGGCTCCAGCGGGTGAAACATCTGTGACGCTCTCACAGAGAGTGAATCACAGAGAGAGCAAACTTATAAAAAGATAAAGGTCTGCGCTGTGTCTTTAGTCTTTCGGCAGCGGGATGCCGACTGCCGTCTGCTGCCCCTCCATCTGCTGCTGCGCCTGCGCCACCTGCTCCTCGCTGCAGGAGTCCTGCAGAAACACGGTAGCCAGGTTGCGCAGACGCGGGCTCTCGGAGAGGGAGAAGCGCAGCATGCACTGCAGGATGGCGGGATCGGTGATCTGAGAGCGTGACGTGGGTGTTAGGAGGTTCATGAGGGTGGTGATGGCTGACAGGACAGTCTCTTCCCTCTGGCTCGACAAGCAGTTTGTGACTAAGCGGATGCCGTCGCTCTGCAGGACGACATCTCTGCACTCAGGGTCCATGCTGAGGTTACAGAGCCCTCCTGAGATCACGAGAGACAAAATCAGAGATAAAGGCTTGACAGTTGCTGCAGACAATGAAGGAGATGTCACTGTGACACCCACCCATCCCAAACTCCACAAAGTTCTCATTCTCCTCAGTCAGCATGTCCAAGAAGAGGTCAGTCACCTGCAGCTCTCTCAGATACTCCACGTTCTTTGGATCGTATGCAAAATTGGCCAAATTAGCCAGAACTTGTTCCTTTGCCTCTGAGGAGGAAAAAAATCATCACATGTAATGTATGTAATCACATAAAATGAGAACTATGGAGTGCCAAAATTAAATAGGCAAATATTTAGTTAAAAGTCTAATTAATTCATTCAAATATTCATTTCAAATTATTTGTGGCTGGTCAACAGACCTTAAAATCTGATTGGTTACCCTGCACAGCAAGTTAAGACGATTGATCCCAGATAATGCTGCAGTCCATGCCCGGATTGCCTGCGCACTGCTAATGTGCTACACTCATTGAATTAATAATTCATTTTCTGAAGCTGAACGGCTGGACTCCTTAGCGTACTTGCTATTGAGAAACACCCACCGAAATAATCGACTCCCGAAAAGGTAAAGATACTGACCAGATCAGCATTAGCCCCGCCCCCTGACTTTGACAGGTGAGGTTGACAGTAGAAATAAATTCATGACGTGTTGAAGCCCAGAACTATGAAATAATAACAACTGACATATATTTTAAATAAAACTAATTATTTCAATTTAATAAATGTGTATTTAATAATTTCACATTTTGAATAATTATTTGATGACGTACGTCTCCAAAGAGGAGCACCTAGGCTTTCTGTAGGCACCTATTTTTTATGTTTTTGTTCTATTTACTTATGATTCATATTATTGTCTTGTGGATCTTGAGTTGGAGCAGAAAGACGAAAAGGCAAGATTGGAAAAAAGATAACAGAAGAAAGCAGAGTAGTGAGTTTAAAGTTGAATCCAAACACAGCTGTTCCCACCGTCGCTGTCGGTGTCCTGAAACTCGGTGACCAGAGTTTGTAAATACTCAAAGCGGTCAGAGCCTCCGGACGAGCCGCTCCTCCACATAATCCACCACCAGCTCCGCTCTCCGCTTTATTCTTTTCAGTTCGTTCCCGGCGCGGTCTGACCATGAAATGCCTCCGTGTAGCTGCGTGGATAAGACGAAGGTTCCGTTTAATAGTTTTTGTTTTAAAATCAGTTTCGATCTGATAGCATACGGTCAAGCCGCGCTTACACAGAATCAAATCTAATTTACATTTTTCATACGCAGTTAAAGGTCTTCTATCATAGTTTTTTGTTAATGTGGCCCTAATACTCCCTCACACAACATGACACAAAATAGAAATACTGTCAAGCGGAAGCTAGTGTCACGTGGTACCGGAAGTTCCTAATAACTGTGCGACACGAAGGGGGTGTGTACAGCACCTCAGCCAACTGTAGGGGAAGGTCAGTGTTTAAAGTTCAAAATAAAGCCAAAATGAAGCAGCACAAACTGTCAGCCGGGAAACGGCTCGCCAAACCGATCCTGTTCGGGACGATCATCGTTGGACTCGCTGCTGCTTTCATTAACAGGTAACGTTAAAGCGTGTTTACAGCTCAGCCACCTGTACGTAACAGGCATGTTGTGCGTGACATTTGCACATGCAAGTGTTTACTGCACACCTTATTAATAAACATGCAGTTCCGAAAGAGCCGATCAGAAGTGGAGATTATAAAAGCAGCACGACTTCGCTGTTAAAAGGTACTGCAGGGGAAGCAGTGCGACTGCGTATTAGGCCCATTCTGCAGTCCTTTGGAAGTCAAAGAGAAAAAGCTGAAAATTTTAGAAATTCGGCGGACTTACGAGAAAAATGGATAATTTACAAAAAAAAAAGCAAATTTTCGATGAAAGAAATGGGCAAATTTACATGGAGAAAGCATTCAAAGTTAGGAGAAAAAATGAAAAATAAATGTCTAGTTTATTGTTTTAAAATGGCAAAAGTATCAGGAAAAAAATAGCAAATTTACCAGAAATAATGGAACAATAATGAGAAAGAAAGACAAACTTATTTGAAAAAAGGAGCAAATTTATAAGGCAGTAACATGCTATATATTTACATACATACATACATACATACATGCATTAGGAAATGAATGTCAAATTTCTGAGGTAGCAATGAGCAAAGTTCAGAAGTATTAAATTACAAAATCAAAAAAGGTAAGCTTATTAGAAAAAAAAAATAGGACATTTTAAAGAAGAAAATGAACATATTTCAAAGAAATTAGCAAAGGATAAATTTAAATTTAGATCATTATGTTTCCAAGAAAAAATGAGCAAAGTTCCAAGATGATAAATACCAAAATCTGAAAGAAAAAAAGACACATTCCAAGGGGGGGAAAAAAGAGAAGAATACATTTCAGAGAGTCTGGTGGAGCATTTGCGAGCTTGGAAACTCAGTATGTGGTGATGTCCATGGGTTCCCTGACTGACAAATAAATTTCTAGTTCCCGTTTCCCAGCTATGAAGATTTGCTTCAAGGTTATTACGAGGTCTCATTAAGCAAAATTATTGTAAGAAATGCCGACAACGCCACGAGTAAGGTGTAACAGGACCTGGAGCTGCTCTGTCCCCTGTGCAGGAGCGTTATAAAATCAGTTTATGTGATATGATTTTGTATATTTGGTGTATTTTGAATGCAGATTTATTCTCCTTGTTGTTTTTGTATTGCTCTTTGTGCATGATTTCTGGTAAGCCTGTCTGTAAGCCAGGTTTAATGGCGGAAACAATCTGTGTTGGGCCTGCAGCAGACTGATAACCTGCTCTGTAACAGCTGAGATGGGCTCTAACCTCCTGCTTGGCTGTATCTAAAATGCCTTTAATCATATTTAAATCATGTTAAAGGTATTGAATTTGCAGATGTTGTTTTTAAGACCTCTAGAAAAGCCCTGTCAATACAATTAATTTCAAAGGTTTTTTCATTAACTTTTAGTCCCACTAACTCGTTCGTGCTGTTAGTGCACCAGAGATTTTACAGCACACTAGAGAAGCTCTGCAAATTGAACAGCTGTGTTTTGTCTGACCAAAAGTCCAAAGAGAAATCTTTACTGTTCAGTGCTGTGTTGTACAGACTGGACATTGTGGCACAGCTGGTTGTGTCTTTTTAATTGACATCCCTAAAATCTTTGAAGGAGCCCTAAAATAACCTCATTATTGAAACTCCTGAAACTATTGAAATCACCGAAATCATTCTTTGGTCAAAATTCAACAAAAGAGAAAGAAAAGATGAATATTTAGTTACAGTGGACAACTGCTTGTTTTGGGGGTTTTTTTATTGTTAGAAAAATGGAAACAGTAGGTTTCCAAACACACTCTGGAGACTAATTGAAACAAAACTGAGAGAAAGTGAATATCCAAAACATTTTCTCTGGTAAAGCTATAGTTTAATATTTTTCCGTGAAAGTAAAATCAAAATCTGTTTTTTCACACTGAACCACCTACGTCACATTAGAAGAAAGGTTGTAATCTTACCATTAATCTTTTCTGGTTCTCTAATTAATTCTCACTTGTCATTTGTTTTCATTCGGTACTTCCTCTGTTGCGCAGACACAGGTTTTTTGAGGACGTCGTTGAACTCAGGGCTCAGGAGCGAGCGCGTAACGATGCCAAGAGGTTGGAGGTCCTGGAGAGGCGGCAGAAGCAGATCGATGATCTGACCGAGAAGAAGCAGCAAGGAGGGAGCGGCTGAAGGGGGCAGCAGCCTGAACCTCAGTGCCTCTGCAGCAGACTGTAATACAGAGCAGGTCTCCACAGGTGGACGCTGCACATGTCCACATATGCAAAGATGGCTTTGCTGAATATTTTTACTGAGGCCTGCTTACAGTAATGGATTTATTGAAGTAACCCTCACAGATTTGTATAGACATCTGGGCTGGACACAACACTGTCCAAGACGCCCAGTAAAGGAGCTTAAACAGCATCTTTCTTGTACTTACGTGTTTTTCCAGCAGGGGGCAGAATTGACTGCAACCTAATGGACTGTATGAATGAAAATCTCTTTAACTATAAATTATTTGTGATATACATTGTTAAAGATCATTTATTTAAAATGCACGCCACAGAGGTTTTCATGTTTATTTTATTGGTGTGAGTTTAGTTTAATCAGGATTAAAAATCAAAGCACAGACGCTAATGCCGTACAACAAACATCAGCTCTGCCTTCAGTTTTTGCTCAATGAAGCAGGAAAATCAGACTCCTTAGTGTTGGGATGTATTCAGTCTGATGGATGCTAGAAAGTAATAACTGATGCTGATCTGTCAAAATAAAGGTTTTAAATTCACTATCAGTGTGACATGAAATAATTATTCACTCAAATATAAGATCTGTAATCTGTAACTAATAACTAAACATTGTAGATAGAGAGAAAAGGCCATTTAGAGCTAGTCCAGCATTCTACCGTAAAGAAGTACAAAATTTTAAATTCTCAAGTAAAGGTTTCAAAAATTGTGCTCAAGTTCAGTACATGAGAAAATGTGCTTGTTTGCTTTTCTCCACTCTAAAATAAAGAAAGCTACTTTCAGTTTTTCCGTTATTCACAAGGGATCAACACAGCAGGTAGCGCCGCATATTTGGTTTGGCAGATTTTTTTATGCCCGATGCAACCCGCCAAGGGATTTGTGTCTCCTCCCGGGATCCAGCAGGGTATCTTTCGCTTGTGTACAGCAGCAATTATGATAGTTAACAATAGAAAATAACAGATGCAGTATAACCACAGACTGTAAATACAAAACATGGATGGGTCTGCCTGTGCAGAAATCCCTTGACCAGCAGGCGGCATCTCCTCTGAGATTGTAATGTGCAATACCACCGATTTCCTTTCTGATCAGACACCAAGTCAAATTCAGGGTGGTATGGACGTTACCGAGCCGATGTTGATACTTTGTACAAAAACATAATGTGTTATTGTATTTCAAATTATAGCTTCATAATGATTACAGGACATCAGACTACTTGTTCTTATTGTTTAATTATGAAGAATTATCATATAGAAATAAAAAAAACTAAATTTGTGTGTTAATTGATGCTATTTGAACACACTTTCCTTCATTGTCACTGTGCCACACTACAAATTTTGGTATTGATCCAATACCAAGCAAATACAGGGCCAGTATTGCCGATATCAGTACCAATAATTATAAGTTATTCAGGCAGCTAACTGGGGGAGAGTAGCGTGCCATGACTTATGAGATGAATTCTCAAGTTTCAAATTCTGAACACATTTTAATCACCACTATGTCACTGTGATTATTACTTTCCACAATAATTAGTTAACACAACAAAAAACACCTTTCAGCTTTTCATGTGTTTTGAAACTTGGTTTTAGTGTTGGTATCGATACTATCGATATTTGGATCAATCCGCCCACCTCTACTGCATACAAGTCTAATACTCACTGTGATGATAGTCATCAGTGTTCTGAATTACATCATCAAGTTTGCTGACGACACCGTCGTGGTGGGCCTGATCTCTGATAACAACGAGACGGCCTACCTGAAGGAGATTAGGAATCTGGAGAACTGGTGCCAGAGGAACAACCTCCTTCTAAACGTCAGTAAGACAAAGGAGCTGATAGTGGACTTCAGCACTAAGCAGGAGAGGAACTACCAGACCCCCGTCATCAACGAGTGCCCAGTGGAGAGAGTGGACAGCTTCAAATACCTCGGAGTTCACATCACGCAGGACCTGTCATGGTCCTGTCACATCAACACCGTGGTGAAAAAGGCCCGTCAGCGTCTCTACCACCTCAGACGCTTGAGAGACTTCCAACTGCCCTCCAAGGTGCTCAGGAACTTTTACTCGTGCACCATAGAGAGCATCCTGACGGGAAACATCTTAACCTGGTTCGGGAACAGCACCATGCAGGACAGACGAGCTCTACAGAGGGTTGTGCGGTCAGCTGAGCGCACCATCCGCTCCGAGCTCCCTGACCTGCACTCAATCTACAGCAGGCGGTGCTGGACCAAGGCCAGGAAGATCGTGAAGGACCTCAGCCATCCCAACAACAGACTGTTCTCTCTGCTGAGGTCAGGAAAGCGATTCCGCTCCCTGAAGACCAACACAGAGAGACTGAGGAGGAGCTTCTTCCCGCAGGCGATACGGTCTCTCAATCACACCACCACACAGTACTGACCCACACATGGTTCTTACACACACACTGGACTTTCTGGACTTTGTTTTTGCACAACACTGGTCACTATATTCTTCATTTCCGGTTAATACTTGTACAGCTGCTGTTATTGTGTATATATTTATTTAGATTTCTTCATACATTCTTATATAGTTCTATATTGTGTATTTTGTTGTACAGTTATTTTATTTTCAACTTTAATTTATATATTTTATCTTATTCTTCCCAGTTAAATTTACCCTTCATTCTAATTTGTGTTGTACAGTTATTTCATTTTTAATCTTAATTTATATTTTATTCCTTCCTAGTTAAATTTACCCTTTTCAATTTTTCATATTAATTTCCTATCTTATTCATAGCCTTTTCCTTTTTTGTTTTCTTTAGGTCACGAGCAGTTGTCTAAGCATTTCACTGCATATCGTACTGTGTATGACTGTGTACGTGACAAATAAAATTTGAATTTGAATTTGAATTTGAATTGAATTTCAGTCACTAGTGTGAATTCTTATTGTATTAGGGTACGTGCAGGGCTTTCCCCTGGTGTAGTGGTTAAAATAGTTGCCTTGCATGCAAAGAGCCCCAGTTCAAGACCGGTAGGATACATGACATTCCTAGTTAGGAAGGTTGTTAGGAATGTCATGTGGTGCAAAACCTGTGTGGCCAAACTTTACCTGTGTTTTCTAGTCTAAAAACTTTTTAACAAGCCGATTGCATTTTGTTACACAGAGTTCTGCTATTCAAGAACACTTTAACACACAGCCTGGGGGGTTTGAACCAATGACCTTCTAACTAGCAGACAACCCACCCTACCTGCTAAGCCACAGCTGTCCACAGGTAGATGCAAACACACAGGCCATGTTATTTCGAATCTGGCGCGAACCGATGAACCAGTCCCTGAATCAGTCACGTGGTACGGACTGCCCGCGAGGCCTCGAACGTCACTGCATACGTAATCAAAGCAAGCCTCGATACGCGCTTCAGAAAAACGCCCCCGCGATTACCCGACGCACGATTCGAAGCTTCGACACACAGGACACATCACTAGCCTTTACGCACATGTCACACATTTTAAAAGCATTGTAGAATTTTAATTTCATGACATGAAAATTAAGTTTCAGCCACATAAGTTGAATAATAAAAACACTAAATGGTTCTTATATTATAAAGCCATCGCGTTGCCTGTCAGCCACATAGCAAGAGGCCAAAATGAAACATTTTCAGCATAAAAAAAATATATCTACAACCTATTTTTTTTATTTATTCATTTTTTAAAATCTTTTACCTGAGAGATTATGCAGAGACGGACCAAATCACTATTGTAGCACAGGCATGTACTAGTAGAATAAAGCAGGGTAAGATTCAGGGCGTGGCTATGAAACCAATAGGTGACATCACTGTGGTTACTTGTATCTTGTATCTGAAGTTCATTAGTATAGATATATGTAAGAATCTTCTTAGAGTATTTCTAGTAGTGGAACAATTTTAAAAAATATATTTTTTTTTTTAAATCCACAGAAATAATTTCGTTTTCAAGTCTTCTACAGTCTTTTTAGACTGACATAAAAATATAATTTGACAGCATCAACACATCTGAGAACTGGGTATGGGTGTTTTTCCTGACGACGGGGCGATCGTGGCTCAAGAGTTGGCAGTTCGTCTTGGAAGGTTGCCGGTTCGAGCCCTGGCTTGGACAGTCTCGGTCGTTGTGTCCTTGGGCAAGACACTTCACCCGTTGCCTACTGGTGGTGGTCAGAGGGCCCGGTGGCGCCAGCGTCCGGCAGCCTCGCCTCTGTCAGTGCGCCCCAGGGTGGCTGTGGCTACAATGTAGCTGCCATCACCAGTGTGTGGATGACTGGATATGTAAAGCGCTTTGGGGTCCTTAGGGACTAGTAAAAGCGCTATATAAATACAGGCCATTACCATTTACTTATAGATTCAGTCAAATCTGATTTAAATAACATCTTCAGTTTTCTTGTTATTTTTCTGGACTACCAAAACAACACTAATATGGAAAGCTCACCGTATTCTAATTTCTAAACTGATACAACAGAAAAACAGCAAACATTAATATTTGAGAAGAGAATGAAAAGTAGTCTTTGCCTTGAGAATAACTTCAAGAACCAAGTAAAACATAATCAGTGTGGTATAATTACATCTTTTATTGAAACATGCTATAAAAGAAATTTAAAATAAATTAAACCCACAAACAGGCAATATTGCACTCGAATGAAAAAAAACACAAAAAAAACAAAAACAAAAAAACCCAACAAAAAACAAAACAAGGTCAAAGTGCTTCACTTGCAACTGAGAAAGGTTTGTGCATCAATTCAAAGAACAAAATGTGGATAAAACGTTTCGACTACAGGCTGTAAGAATGCTGGTTAACTGGTCCGAACACTATGACAGCACTACTTTAACTGGCTGCCTGTCAATAACGATCAATATGACCAATACTGTACACGTCATGTCACACGGTTCAGAAGTTACATGGTGTGTTTGGCTCACTGAAAAACTCCCGACTCTGTGGAACTAAATAAGAAGTCAAATACAAGCGCACGAGGATGGCGCCAAAAGCCAGAATCACCCAAAAATCACTACCTGGAAAGGCTCTTGGAAACCTCAATAATTGGTGGAGTCACAGGCCACATGGCACAGTTATTTAGGACATCTGCATCCAATAAACCTGCTGATTTTTATAATTAGAGGGTTCAGCAGTGGTTTAACTGAAGTAATTTAAGTTAAAGATCAGTGAAGAGGCTGCTTAGTTTTAAAAACAAAAAAGCAACTCATCATCATTTCCAAGACTAACTGCATAATATTTCCCTTTCCAGATGATATGCCATTCTTAGAAACCACTTCACATGTCAGGGGAGATCCTTGAGGGAAAAAAAGCAGAGGGGGGGCTTTAACAGTCTTTGTGAGCAAACAGTGGATACAGTAACACATCATATACAGACTAATTTACAGCAAACGAAGCACAAGTGAGGACAGACAGAGAGAGAGGCAGCGCGGGAAGACGAGGAGATGAGCCACAGTAACAGTAAGTTTTACAGTATTAGCCTTTCGTGATCCCTCTTTTTGCGCCTTCTCTTCCTGTTGTGTTTCATGTTGGTGTCACAAAGCCAGGGGCACTAAACCGTGGGAGGAGGCGGCGGGAGGCGCAGTGATGGCCATCCGGGTACCAGCTTCGAGTCCGTTCACGGTCCTGCTGCGAGAAAACAGACTTTTGAAACAAAAGGTCCCGGAAGCAGATACACGAATCCACCCGTTACCAGCCACCAATCAAAGCCTCCACACAGTTAAAGCCGTTTAATTTGAATGCAAACAAGGTGGTCAGTATGGAAGCCCATTGGTGCCAGATTATGAAAGCCAGGAATCAGATATAATAAAAATGATCAGTCATGAAAATAAATAAAGATAAATCAAATATATGTTTTTAAAAGCAGCTGAGATAGTCGATATAAATGTGTCCAATAATCTGTATGTTCTCAATCATAAACATAAAAGTAATAATCATCAATAATCAAAGGACCACCTGGCTGGCTGAAAAGGTTTTTAGCTTTCACTTAAAAATGGATAAAAACAGCTAAATTCATGACATGTGTCAGCTGGCACACTTTCTATGCCAGGAGCTACAACTAACATAAATACAAAGATATTTATAAATTTGGTAGAAATGTAAAAAATAATAATAGTATCTCTCATCCCAGTACAAATATTTAATGTGGCTCTAAAACACATGATTACGATTTCTCTACATCTACCCATTATATACCCATCCACCTATACTTTCCCTCAACAGCTGTTTTTAAGATGCACACAATTAGAAGAAAATTGGCTCAAAGTTATGGTGGCCCCAAAGGGAGAAGATGTCAAATAAATAAAGAAATAAAAGCTTGTTTGAGACAGAATGAACAGACACGCTGCATCAATACTCTGTATAAAATAAAGACAAATTATTTTCTGCTCTAGTAGAGTCCAAGACTAAAAATATGGAGCTGCAAATCAGTATAAGAGACTTAAGTATATACTTACTAAACTACTGTATTCAAGTAAAAATGTATCTACTGTATTGTAGATACATAAGGGAAAATGAGATCAGATAGCTTCAAAGCTTTGGTCGGTTTTACTTTATCAAAAACTGCCAACACAGATCGAAGCACCGACCGGCGCAGCGGGAGGTGGCTCTGTCCTCATTATCAAACGCCCTTCATCTCGCACAGGACAACAGCTGCATAGCAGACATGAGGCAATATTAGCAAATACAGGCATGTGCCGCTAAAAATAAAAGTTTAACGCAGAAACTGGGAAGGAAGCAGGAGAGTCACCCAGAGTTATCCAACTGGTTTCACCGCGTTCTTTTGTGGGTCACAGTTGGGGCATGAAAGGCATCCTCTGTGTGGTAGGAGTTTGAAAAGCACAGAAATATGAGCTTTGGAGGAGTGCCAGTGAAACTACATTTTCAAGACTGGGCTGGGCATTGTGTGGAAGTTTTCTTTACTGGTATCGAACTGGTGTTTCTGTGTATCCAAATTCCTGTACCGACGGAAAAGCACATTTCTCAGTGTTACAAAGTTTTTCCATGAACAGTCTGAATAAAGTTACAAAAATCTGTCTGAATTAGGCCAAAAAATAAAAAAATAAGTCTACAACCCTAACTACGATGTATTGTCAATTATACCACCTGACACTTTTTACTTGTCATTTTTAAATGGTGATTTCTTGGAACTTCATTTATTGAAGTATAAAGTCATTTTTTCTTAATAAATGGCCAGACATAGCTGAATGTGACTGTACTCTTCATAAGACCTCCCTGCTCTGAAGTCACCCAGACAATGCCCTTGTTGTGCACACATACTCTGCCTATTTATATTTCTCTCGCACAGCAGAAACACTACACTTCCTCTGGCTGCCAGTCCCCACAGTAAGGATCTGTTGGCAACACAAGCATGAAGAGCAAAAAAATTCAAGCTGAACAAAACCGTTGTCATCATATACAACAATAAACCAACACCTGGATCCTGTTAGCAGGTGTTATTATATACTCATATTAGGTAGTGCTTACTAATAAGGTTCTTGAGCCACTTGTGGCTATATTTCCCAACTTCATCAGGACGTTGGTTTTCATTTTATGTTTCTTGTAAATTAAATTCATAAACATGTACACATCCATGTGGGAGGTGTTAGCACCCTAAATAAATCCAATCCGACTGAAGATTCTCTCGTGAATCATCTCCTGAGGGACTTCCAGCCATAAATTAAAACAAATAAAAAGGTATGGCAAAAACGGACTTTGTTAATAGCATTACTGGTTAGATCTGGAGCTGAAAACAAACACTTTATACTAGTATAGACAAGAAAAACATGAATCAGGTCACTTTAGAGTTGAGAGATTATTCCAGCAGCACCACGCCACCACCACTAAATAGTTATCCAGCCCACACTTATTTCTATGAGATGGGAAAAGAGGCTTGTTAAGGAGCAGCGGCAGCATGCATGGCCCTCTACACACTTGCATAACAGGTGAAGGAGCTACAATTACCCCAAATTAATGCAGGGAATATGACCATCTCAGTCCTGCTGGGGGGAAAAACAAATGCACACCATCTCAGATACTCGTCCTTATTCACGCAACAATACAACCATGCTGTCCACACTTACATGTGACAGTAATGGGCAATAAAACTACAGACTGAATGTGCTTTCACTCACGCTTTATCAAAATATGACGTATGGAGCGCTTGGGAGTAGTTTGCATTTAGCGCGTTGCTGTTGTCGAGAGCGAACGTCTTCCGAGCTTTCTGGTCTTTGGCAAAGTTCCTGCAGGCGGCGAGCTTCGACTCGAGAGCCTGTGAGGACACAAAAGATGAAGAGGAAAGAGAGGACTTCCGACATGAAGCCAGAGGTGGAAATGAGAACCAGAAACAGGGAGGAGGAAAGACTCACCCCAACTTTCCGGAGCAAATCACTGACAATGTTGAGGGCTGATATTCTGGCCGAGGGGGTCAGAGGCGAGTTGCTGCCATAGCCATTTGATAGCACTAGTTAGAAAAAAGTAAAGAAACCAATTTATTCCTCCAATTTTTATTTTATTAAATCTTTTACAGAGTTCAAAATCATTATTCTGTTTAAGCAATTAGTTCCCCCTGTTTAATAACCTCTTGGCAGATTTCAGACACTTATTTATGAATATTTATTAAATTAAAGACATTAAAATCAACTGTTAATCTGCTATATTTTTATAATTGAGCCAAAATATATTAAAAGGTTTTCATGGGGTCTTTGCTGCACTTTAACTGCACAAGAACTGATTATACAGCTGGGTCATTACAGAAATAAATGTTTTCTGCATGCAAATATACGCGCAGCACAACATTTAAATAAAGAGCTACATGTCTGTACTTGCATGTTGAGGGGAAAGACGTTGTGCAGCTACCTGTTTGGTTGGCAAAGGCGTTGTCCAGACCTTTGCTCAGTGGGGTAGCCGGCAGGGAGAGGGAGGCCTGCACAGCCGTGTCCATCTTCACGTTATCCTGTGTGGGTGAACTCGGAGCGGACATCCTGGTTACGTCTGCCTGCCTCTCTCGCACGGCGAGCTCCTGCCGTAAATCTTTTTTTTTTTAAAAAAGAAAAGATAATTGTAACAAATATATATAGGAAAATCCAGATTTTAACCTTCAGAGGAGAAAGACTGCAGCAGCTGCACATTAATGAGCTCGAGTTCATGAGTGAGTAATCACCTCTGGCTTCATCCTTTAATCTTTGCACCGAGACCAGCAGCGACTCCTTCTCATCCAGCTCGCTCTCCAGGAAGGCATTCCTCTCAATGGCCTGGTTCAGACGCTGCTCGAAGTTCTCAAGAGACACGATAGTTGCTCTAGAAGAAATATTTTTAAAAAGGAAAAAAAACAAAACAAAAAAACAAAAAAAAAAAACAACCACGACTTCAGTAATTATGTGCAAATAACCTCAGAGGCATGTTCTCTGCAGACACTAGTGCATGAATAATAATAATAATAATAATGAGTAAGTAATCAATATCTGAGGCTTATCTATTGATTTTAATCCAGCTTTGTCCAGCAATCAATTGACTTGAAGCCATTTGTTAATTGCAATGAGATCCTAGAATTTTATCTCTTGCAAATTTTTATAAAAATGTAACCAACATCACAAAGTAGGCAAGAAACAGAAGTGTGTTTGCACTTACTTAAGGTAGCGTCATTTGTTTATTATGCTGAATATTCTACATGATCCCAGCAACAAAGCTAAAACCTAAAAATCAAGTTGAAACTTTCAGAGGCTGAAAACAAATGAAGCCAATGTGAAGTAGCTACAGCTGCAGTTCCTCCAAAGGCCACTGGGGGCTGGCGCTGAAAGAGTCATTTTCTTGGCTATGCTGAACTGCTCTGCTCTTTGCAGCTTCACCCTTTACTGTTAGATGTGATATATTATCATCATATACTGTACACAAAAGATGGATGTAACTATCACGATATGACTTTTAACTTTCAGGATACCACCATATTATTGTTGTTGTTGTGATTTTTGTTTTATTTTGTTTTTTTAGCTGTAGTTACCACATTTGGAGAAGAGGGTGGAGTTAGAAAACGATGTTAGCAAGCTGTACCAGAGATAGATTACTGCTTTGACTCTTGCTCATCAAAACTGAAGCGCACATGACTGGGTGGTCTAGTGGTGCACGTAAATGCACAGTAATCTGCATTGTTTGTCCGATATTTTCATTAAAGGTGCATAAACACCACAAACATGGTCAAATGGTTCACACAGCACAAAGGAAACTTTCAGACTGTTTTATTTATTTAGTAAGTATTAAGAGTCCAAACAGACCTTTTGGCTCTTTCCAGATCATCGTTGGACTGCTCGAGCTCTCTGACGTATTTGTGAAGCTGCTCCTTGATGCTGCGCGTTTGGCCGAGGTCGTCCTCCAGCATGGAGATCTGCTTGTAGCTCTGAGAGTACTGCTGCTCCAGTTTCTCCTGAGGAGGAGGGCAGACAACATGTACTGAACATCTGACTGCATGCATTTAAACACATGATTGAACAGCTCCCAAAGCACGCTGCCATACATTTTTCAGTGCTCCATTCATTTTCCCTTTCCATTTAAAAAAAAAAAAAAAAAAAAAAGCAGCAGTGTGACCCATTTATCCACCAGCTCTGAGACAATTGGCATGATAAACACCACCGGGCCTGTCTGTGTGTCTGACCTACATCTGCTGATAAAGTAATGACTGAGCTGCAGCCAGCCGCAGAAAGGCCAGACAGTCCTCTCGTTCAGCAGGTCCAATTAACAGAGTTTAAAAGCACAAACGCTGGGATAAATCTGAAGCTCTGATTTGTGCAGCAGTCTACATGCGCAAACACAGCACGAGAATATTACTCACAAATCAGAAAATAACACTTAAGATTAGGTTGTGTTTCACGAACATCTGTAAAGGACGGCTTTCTTAATCAAACGTTTTCAGAATGTTAGTATATTTTCTGAGATGTGATGCATTATGAATGCTTTTAGTTCACCATAAAGAGTTTGATAAATGTGCATTTATAAAAAACTTACTTGGCCCCTCACCCAGGACCAATTTGCTTTGAGATAATCTGTAGGAAATGGATGGACGGAAGGAGAGAGGAGGATTATCCAGGATATGTTTGTTGACTTGTCCATTAAAGGTTTTTAGCCATTGAGCGTGTGCTCTCACGCTCGAAACGGCTTCAAACTCCAACATGCAACTGACATCTTTTCTTACAGTCTACGATAAATATTCACAACTTTATTCAGTTAGTTTTGTGCTGTTTATCTTTGTGGTTTGTTAGTCAGTCCTAGGCCATTTTCTTTGTACCCGTGTTATTTTATAAGGGTGCTGTTTTGTGTCCTTTTTATGTTTTAGGAAAAATTCAAATTCCTACATCTTGTTTCAGAAATTTTTCCTTTAAAGCTTTGTTAAGATACAAAGCTATGGTGTGTGTGTAGTAAAATTAGAACCATGAGACATGCCCCAGTGTTGCGCCAACATCTCACCAGTGCTGCATTTCCTCCAAATCAAAGGTGTGAAGTCAGCGCTGCTGAAAGTGAAACCTGTCAGACACCTTGGCACAAACATGTTTTCCCTGCAGGTGGCTCGACTCACCCGACTTGAAACACGGACTCAGAAATGAGCCACTTGGATTTGGTAATTATGGAGCGAGAATAACAGCGAGACACAATCCGATGAATTATTTATGAGAGTGGCACAGATCAGCTGCATCAGTATACAGCCAGATTAGGGCAGAACAGGTGGTGAGATTGGAAGGATATACCTCAGATTCCCACTGCAGCGAGATTACCATTTAGATTGCACTTTAAAACATCTCATCTCCAGGACTGTACTCAGTTTTCATGGAGGCCAGTAAACTACAGGATAACGTTACAGCTAGAAATCCAACAAAGGCAGGGCCACAAAAATAAGAGGTGTTGTTCTTTGAGAAGGCAGCCAATAAACATTTATTCTGCAAGACATCGCTTCTACAGGAGCAGCAGCTGTTACAGGCCCACTTCTCTTCACTCCCAGGAGACTACACTCAAGGGCAGCAGATGATAGATGGCGACGGAAAGAAAAAGAAAAAAAAAGCCCTCATATTTATTTCAAGGATACGCGTGAAGACACTCGCCTAATGTCTTGTTAATATTAGAAACATATATACATAATGCTGGCCTCATCATAAATGCAGAGTGAGAGAGAAAGTCAGTGAAGCTCTTCTTTAGGTTCACCACATAAATCTGAGAAGCTTAATGAGATACAGTTGGATTGTTAAAATAAGCCATTATGGCTCAGTAGCAATTATTCTATCAGGCTTTTAATTAACCAATCAAAATCAGCTTGTTCGTAAAATGCCAGAAAATGGCACGAAAAGCTGACAAGGATTTTTCCTGACCACATGGTGGCACTGACATGTTGATCACCTGATTCTCAGCTCTTAAATCTAACCCATCAAAAACATTCAGGATGACTAAATTAACTTAGAGCATGAACATTTATGGTTTAAGTAAATAAACTAGATTAAAAAAAAAAAAAAAAAAAAAAAAAAAAGTCATTGGCTTAGAGGTGCTGGTTATAGCTAGCTTTTAGCATGCTAAGCTATGCTAAACTACCAGGTGTTCTGGGAATCCATCCTACCTGTTGTTTCTGCACATGCGCACAACACAAAATTCAGTGCCAAACTGTCCTACCTATTGGAATTTATGCTAGAATTATTGTGCGACAGCGGAAATGTCCATAAACTACAAACGGTAGGACGGTTTGCCAAAGTGCGCAAACTTAAAATAATGTATTCTAGCATGCAGGCCTCACGGTGAGCACAACGACCTATCAGATAAAGCGGTTACTCTATATAGATATTAATTACGTGGTGTCATGTATATATTGCTGAAGTGTGGTCGGTCACATTGGACATGATTACAAGGGGAAATTGTGCATTTCCTGATGGGTTGGTGGAACAAAATTGGGAGCACTGCACCAAAGCTTACAGATTGCAAACCAAAAAAAACAAAACACTGCTGTGCCAGATTAGGCCCCCGGGGCTTTAGTTTGACACCAAATAATGGATGTAGCCCATACAATGCCACCCACTAATTAGTAAAAATCACATTATGATGCCTCAAAATATCTATGATGGAAGTCATGTCCATCTTTTATAGAGTCTATGGTCAGCTTTCCACAGACTGCAGCAGTTACCTTGAGAGTTTCAGCCTCATTCTTGAGTCTGTTGTTCTCAGACTGCAGGTCCTTCATTCGATGCTCGGCCTGGCCAAGCTGTGCTTCCAGCTCAGCCTCCAGCTCCCTGCTCCCCTCCTGAAACTCCAGCAGCTCCTCCTGAGCCTCCTCACAGCTGTGGGCAGACACACAGAAAGCCATTAGACGACAAGTCGAGACAGAAAGAGGTAGACGTGCAAGCCTGGGAGACACGGCTGGTGGATGCATTCGTCAAACTTTACAGCTGGATATGGTTTTATTTTTATCGCCGTTGCATCTCCTCTGGGCGCTCGAGATCTGACCCAGATACAATTCCCCAAACTCGAATGCAATTTGTGTCACCTACTTTGTAAAGGGGGTGTTTTAAGGGTTTTAACCCTTTAATTTCTCCTAAGAGATGAACTGCTATAAAATATTAACTAAGGAATTAATATTTAAAGACTAACAGTTGCTTTTGTGCAAAATTTACTTCTGCAAATAGTGACCGCTTTACCCCACATCCACACACCCGAACTACAGCGTCACTATAAAAACTGATTTATTCCCTGTACTTTGCTTCTTTTCTGAAATCTCAGATTCAGCTTTTGTCTTCAAGACTTTTTAACTGGGCCAGTTTTTACTCGTCTTTATGTTTATGAGACAAGGGTTGAGAGCAAGACTGAAGCCCATCCATCATCTGGATGGAAACTGCACAGATTTCTCCTGATGGAACATGATTTTTCAACAGAGTACAGAAATTCTTGCTTGTCAAGTCAATTTTTGATGTAATCTAACACAACATAATTTACCAGAGACGCTCAATCAGATTAAGATCTGAAGAGCTTTCAGGCCATGGATCTGAAATGTTTTTGATGATCTCTGAGTCACTTAGTTATCACCATCTCTTTGTGACATGGTCCTCGATTGTGCGGGAAAAATGCAAAGATTGTCACCAAATAGCTTAAGGGTTGTTACAAGAAGTTGAGGATGTTTTTAATATAGTCAATCTTTAAACAGCAGGTCGGACAAGAGGAATCCACAAATGCCAACGAAACAAACCCTGGTATGCTTGGAATTGACGTCACTGTTGAAGCTGTTGCTAACTTCTTACCATACCTTGCGAGTCTGTAACAGTCGGTTATGAAACAGTCAATGATTTACCATCTTTACAGCTTTACAGGCTGCTGCAGTCGATCTTGTCTAGTAAAAACAGCTGACACTATTGTGCCAGCTGACATGCTGGCAGTGAGGTCAAACTGAAATTTGTGTTTTAACCAAGAAGTGCGTCTCTGACTCTCCAATGTAACCTTCGAAACATACAACGAGCCACATGATCCTGGACCAGCTTTACCGCAAAGTGCTGATTATGTAAGTGTCTGCTGATGTGGTCACTGAGAGACTGATACACGGACACACACACACACACACACACACACACACACACACACACAGCTGTCTAAAAATGGCATCATGGGAGCTGAAGTGCTCGGGGTGGCACCGAGCCAAGGCATCCATTTGTTTTCAAAGCCACCGCGGTAATGTCGAGCCAGGCCGGGCTTTGAACTGGTTTCGCTCTGAAAAGGTTGGCTGTCACACATTTGCACACTGGTGCCTCCTCTTTCCCTACATTCAAAACCAGACAGCATGACAAGGGAACACTTTGTGGGCCAAACACACTCATGTCATATTGTTTTGCTCATTCAAAGTTCAAACCCGAGGTCCTCTGTGTTATCGCTGTACAGTGGTGAAGAACCATGATATTGCTTTGCTACTTAGAGCACAGGACAGCACTGCTGGGCTTTGTGAACAGCTACACAGAATAATACAATGTACCTCTGTACCTCAGAGACACAAACTGGGAACTGTCCTTCACTTATATGACCCCAATAAACATGGCCTCCACTCTGAAGGAAGCCCATTGTCTTACATAATCAGGCGTAGGCCTGAGCTTGTTTCCTGTAGCACCTATTGTTGACATTTCAATCAGCTGATCTTAATCAAGCGGCGTATAGAGCACAGAAATAGGTTTCATACAAATGCAGCAATCTTTACACGATGAATGAACAACAGTGAGAATCTGCACAGAAAAATCATTCAAAGATGGGACAAAGAGACGTGGGAGCCTTTTATGTTTAATGTGAAATATGAGCTGCCGCTGTGGGAAGAAACTGAGAAGGAAGATTTCACTGCTTGTCTCACAAGTGTCACCGGAGATGCCAACAGCGGCTGCTAATTGAAAGTCTAAGACTGACAGATAGCAGATAAAGCATTTCTCCCACAGACACAAAGAGCGGACTGGTTACCATCAGATCTTGTGATTCAAATGTCGCTAACAAAGACGTCTCTCAGTTCAGAAGTAGCTGCACAGAGATCATTTACATAGGTTAAAGGTTGCAGCACCAGTAAGAAGTAGTAGGACTTCAGCTAATGACTGCATTACACTTGACACAATCACACGCACGTTTATACAAAAAGCTTTTTTCTATACTCAAGTGCTCTCAGCCTAATTTTAACACACTCACACTCTGATGGATGTGTCAGGGGTAACTCGGGGTTCAGTCCCTTGCCCAGAGATCCTTCAAAACACAGACTAGAGGAGCCGGGGATCAAACCCCTGACCTACTGACTGGTAGACGACCTGTTCTGCCTTCTGAGATATAAAGGTGTATGTATAAAGATAAAATAACCAGTGCTAATCAACTGTAAACTGAAGTTTAATGCTCATTGTTTTACTTTTAACAATAAAACTCTAATCAATCATATTAGCTAAACATGTGTTGTATTACCAATTAAGTTTGTCATTTTAAAATGTTAAAGAATTATGAATTATATACATTTACTGTACAGCATCGCCATGCTGGTGATCTCAAAGATGTTGGGTAGGTTTGAAATACTGGGGAGATATGGTTACTTTATGGTGCCTGCTTTGTGTACAGGGGAGTTGTCGTGTTGAAACAAGGATGGCAAAAACACCATAGTCTAAAACATCACTGAACTGCACAATGCAGCTTTGTTATATAAAGAATCAAGATCAAAACAACCTCCAACCTAAAGCAGAAGTCACATAAGGGGATCTCTATTTAAAGCAGTAACAAATGTATACTGTACTGGAATAAAAATAATGCTTTCATTTTAGCTCACATGTTCCAGTTTTGAATGACAATACCTGTATTGCATATCTTACCGATTACTGGGAGGAACAGTGGCACATTTGAGCTTTTACTTCCCATTAACCTTCATTTCAATGCTGTGCACGAGGAGTTGAATACTTTATGCTTTGGTCGCCTCTGAGGAGGATTTTTCAATTTCCCCAGGTACCATATAAAAGCTTGGCTCACCTGAGTTTTATCAGGTTCAATGTGCATGAAAGAGACAGTGGTACTTGAGCATCAAGGTGCACAATAACCAAATGTACCTACAGTTAAAAGATTAAGTTTGTGCATTTTTTCCTCCTGTCAATGCATCTTCTACCACAAGTAACTCTTGACCAAAGAGAAGTTAAAGCCCCAAATGCTGAATTAGCAGAGGAAGAAGATGGGAAAACTAGGCTGGACTTCACCAGATAATCTTTTCATGAGATTTGTTGATTAAGAGTAAAAAATACAAAACTATACCTGCATTATTATTTAACTAAGTGTTTCCAAAGGGCTGAGGCACTGATGTTACTGAAGGAGAAACAGAGCCTGCACAGTGTGTATTGTACATACCTTTTCTTGTACTTGAAGGAAAGAGTCTTCCAAAAGTCGATTTCCTCATCTTTTGAGGAGAATTTCGGTATCATATCCATTTCCATGGCAAAAAAATCTACACAGGAAGGAATCGGGAAACAAGCGTGATTTCAGTGGGATAAAGACAATCCTACAAAAGACGAAAGGTTAACAGATGAAGTATAAACATTTGAGAAAAACCCATTTTCTTCTCATAGTCGTTCTTCTAAGCCTTAAAGCTCTCTCAATCCCCAGCAAGGCGGCAAACATCTAAAGACACAACATCAAGTGAGAACTAGACTCACAAATCAATGAGTCAAACTACAGCTGGGAGCTAATCATCAAAAGGACTCCCTACAGACTGCAAGAAACCCAACAGAGGCAACTGCAGAGCACGCAGCATTCAAATGTGCTTTCCAGGCTTTAAAAAATAAAAAAATAAGAGCAACCACTCCTGAAAAACAGCATTTTTAATTTGATGTAGAGCCTTCTGTATGATTAAATATATCATAGATTGGCCCAAATAAGACTCCACAGGCTTGTTTAGGCTGTGTATAATGCCTCCTATGTGTAGCACCCGATGGGCCTAGATGTTAATGCAAAGCACAGTTCACAGAGGTAACAATGAGACCGGGAGCCTCATTGATAACTTTTAGGGGGAATTTAAATCCCCAAACACCAAACCAGTTGTGAGCAGGAGCGGATGGGAACACTAGGCTGCAGATCCAGCAAGAACTGGACAAATGATTTTGGAGGATACTTTTGCTCTCGTGAGATCTGCTGAGGTCTAAGTTAATCAATAGGCAAAATCAGTGAAGGTACCAGTCCAATTCCAACTCTGTCTCACCTTCTCTTAGAACATGAAGAATACCCGATGCAGACAAGAGAACACAGTGATAGTATGAAGCCTGACATTTTTCACAGAGGTAGCACAGCTTCTCTTTGATGCTATCGATGTAATAGCTCCCACAGTGGGTCTACATTTCTAGTTTATTTGCCACATAAGGGAACAGGAACTGCTAAATGAGCATCAAAGCTCAAATTAATCTTTAATCACTCCTCTGTGCTCCACCACTGGGACTCACTCCTGAGATTCAAAACCACTGCTTTAAGCTACACTTCTTTTTATTGGCTGCCGCTCATAAATAGAAAGGTTGACCGGTGAGTGGGTGGGTGGGGCTTCTGTGACCATATTAGCGACATCTGCTCTCTTTGACATCAAAGACCCAAGAGCAGGAAAGAACTGTCTGAAATGAAGTGTTTAGAGCAGTGTGAAGTCTGGGCCATATCATATCTGGGCCAGCAGGTGGTTAGCTTAACTGAGGGAAACATCTGGACTAATTCCTCTAAATCTAACAAATTAACAGTAAATTTCACATTTTGAGTAAAATAACCGAATCTAATCTTGAACTAGGGGATGAAAAAAAATAATAAAATAATTTGAAGGCCATTCAAGCAGAAATCCTATTAACTTTTTATAGCACAGGATGCAAAAATGTATTCTGTCATCCTTTGAATAATTCAGCTTTATATTATAGCCAACACTCACGGCTCAAAGGAGAAATTACAGCCGGGGAACAGCAGCACACACTGGAGCCGCTGTTTCCCAAATTAATGGGATTATTATTTTTCCATTTAGTTTTTATGAAGTCTGTCGATTTAAATAGGCGTAGGTGCAAACTAAGGGTGGTTTGAACAGGCCACATCACTGCAGGGTGAAATATTCACCTTTAAATAACCTGATCTCAATTCCTCACTCAGAAAAATGACCCTGTTGAACACAGACCATATGTCGAGCCAACCACAGCCCCGCCGAAGGTGATAAACATTTTCACTACAAGAAAAGCAATTTTTAAAAAAAATCCACCTCAAATTAAATAATCGGGTTAGCGTTGGAAACATAACACAGGATTGGAGAGGATACCAAGCTTGGCGGCTGAAAACGTGCAGATGATGTTGAGGATGATGATGATGCGCTCAGCTGTCAAAACTGGGTGTGCAAAGGAGCCGAACGAACCGACGACACGCTGCTCTCGGTGTTTCACCTCCATTTGTTTTCCACTACAAAAATAAAATAAAGGATAATGAACTCGGTACCTGAACATCGCTTCGAACAGAGCTGTTTATCGGTCCATCCTGCACGGCTGTCCGAGCTGCCGAGGCCGACCGTCCCCTCCAACGTCTGCTGATTTCTGCTGCTCACAGGAGCGCTTAAAGGGAAACACACCCTCCACACAGATCCTTCTTATTTCCGCACCTCAGCTATAATTTGGATCCTTATGCCAGAATATTCACAAGGCTGAGAATATGTGGAGAATATTTTACTGATAATAACAATAATAATAATAATAATAATTAATATTATTTTGTCTGAGGTGAAAGATCCTCATAGTCAGTGAATAATGAGTAGATCAGCTCAGATGATAAAATTAAATATTTAATTTCTAACACAGTAAAGAGCTGTGTGTTTTGGCTGGCTGTTGTTTATATAAAGAAAAGAAAATGCAATAAAAAATAAAAAAGTAAAATTATGGTTAGGAGTGGATTTCATCAACTCGTGCCTTTTTTGCTCGCGAGCTTCACTGCTGCTCATGAACTGCGCATAACACTCAGTTAATGTTAAATTATCATCACCTGGCGGCAGTGGGCTAGAACAGCAGTCTGTGTAGCCTTTGACTTGTGCCTGAAGTCATCTAAAAATTAATGTGTGCATATAATTAAGTATGCTTTTCTTTAGAGATATATAAGTTATATTGTAGGAATAACTTGGGGGCCCATGACCCTCTTACGGGACACGCCCATCTGGGACTTTACACCAGTTGCACCTAAGAACTGAAGAAGCTTCTGGGATGAGAGATGAAACGTCTTCAAGAAACTTAAAGAAGTGCAGACGCTTTTCTTTCCAAGCTCCTTAGTCTAATAGTTTACAGATTAAAATTAGAGAGAAGAAAATAACTTACAGATGCTAAATTACAACACAGTTCCTCAAAATTATTGCATGAATCAACGTTTTGATTCTGCAAGGTTTTTTTGTTTTTTTTTACAAATAAATTAGTTATTCATTGTACTAAAACATTTTGAGATAAAGAAAATTACACTTTGTCACTTATGTTTTTCACTCTAAATAACAAATAAGAGCTGTTGAATGTAAAATCCTAAAATAACAGCTTTTTAAATGTACACACATCTAAACGCTGGAAACTATGGTGGAGGGTAGCTCACAGACTCAGCTCTGCTGTCAAAAGGAAGCTTACAGGAAATAACAGTTTAATGTCTGGAGAGTCCACACGTTAGTTTGTTACACTGAGACATTTGAATGTTTTCTGGCATTTGCCTTATTTTAGTAAAACATTTTTATTTAGTTTTATTTAGCTTTAATTCACATGTTGAGCTATTTTTGTACGATTTTTAAAATATTTTGCTCACATTTTCACTTGTTTTATTAATTTTCTTTATTATTTTATTCTTTTTATTCTACCCTATGTATATTTTCATTTATGTTTATGCTTATTTAAAACATTGCATGTTAATTAATGTGAGCACTTAAGAAACATAAGCAACATTTTAACTTTTTATTTTATTTTGTCGACATTTTTGTTTACATCCGTTTCCTTCAGTTTTTTGTTGTTGTTTTTTTCTTTTTCAAATTCAGGGTCATATTTTGGCTGCTCTAACGGGAAGCTTGGGACAAATAAAGTGTATTAATAAGCGAACCGACTCTAGTAATTAATGACTGCGTACACGTATGTACTGACGTCAAACGTATGCTGTAGGAGCGTGTTGCGATGGTAACGGACAACACACCGGACAAGAGCCGCTAAACAGGGTCGAGATGACCATGTCGCAGCTGGATGTCGACGGTTTTCCAATTTCGTGGAAAGATCCACAGGATGCAGACACAGTATCCATGTTTGATGTGATTTACGGCAAAGTGAGAGAGGTTTGTGTTTTTAACGGACACGTGGGTGATGTGTGAGTGAAAATGAAGCTGAAAGACCCCAAAACATAAGCAGCAGTATATATACACGCGTTGTGTTATGAAATGTAATTTACATGACATCACACAGATGAGTGAAGAGTTAGCTGGACAAGATTTAGGATCGAAAACGAAAACAAAGATTTAAATAAAGACATTTTACTATTTCAGGAAAAATATGATCTAATGGCAGCAACAGGTCTCAAAAAGGGAAGGGGGAAAACAAAAGACTGGACAAGTAAATGGGACTAAAAAGAAACAGCTGGAGGAACATTTTACAAGTAATTCGGTTCATCAGTAACGTTATTGGGTATAAAAAGAGCAACTCCGAGAGGCACAGGCTCTCAGAAGTAAAGGTGGGCAGAAAACGACATCTACAAATTGTGGAACAGTTATAGAATATTCTTCCTCAGTGATGGAGTCAAAATGAAAGAGTAAGTTACAAGGAAAGAGTATGAATATCTCATCATCTACAAATAATACCATCAAAGAAATCTCTGTGCATGAGGGACAAGGCTGAAAATCAACTTTAGCACCAAGGGAAATGGCAGCTTGCACATCTGGAAAAGCAGTGCTGGAATACGTATACAGGTTTTAGTGCAACATTTACACCCATTCAGAATATTGCAGTATGACAATGCATCATCAGCATCATCATAGTATAGACAGTAAGAGTGTGTGTGCAAATCACCATGTAGACACCTGCCATCCCTACATGCACTGTCCTTCTTCCTGTTGGGGTTGAAGCACCCTGATTATGAGGCTGTGCTGCTCTGCGATTGGCTGCTGTGTTAATCGCACCAGTGTGTTTTGCAGCAGGCTTTGTTTAATAGGACCTGCAGAACAATAGGTTTCTAGGATATGCGCTTTTATAAACAGTGAAGGCGGGCAGCTCGCTTAGCTCTCACTCAGTCAGTGCTTCAATCGGACGGCGAAAGAAGTCAGACGGAGATTAAAGCAAAGAGATGGAGAAAAAGGGTTTTGAGGAAAAGGAGGAGGAAGAAACTAGGACTAGTTTATTTCACCACTTAGTGACACGGAGGAAGAATCTGGGGGATGATGCGGTTTGTATTTAGCTTAATATGGAAAGGAGCTCAGGTTGTAAATATTGGCACACGGCCTTAAATTTTAAATGCGCACCTGACAATGATCCTCCTTTTGTGCCTGGATTGCATGTCAGAGCTTATTCTGTTGTCACTCTGCAGGCTTTCTAAGTCCCCCCACCTTCTCCCCACAGAAGATCATCCTGCAGCGGCTGATAATGATTTCTCGGCTCCCCCACGACCTTGCTGATAGGACAGACCTGGGAGGTCAGCCAGCAATTACCTTAGAGCTACAGAGACTGAGGGACTAATCACCTGCCAACTGAACCCAGTTTTTCTTTAGGGGAATGATCCTGTTATACTGGCAGGACAAATTAATACTCCTACTTAATTTGCTGCCCTGAAATACCGAGGCTTCTTGTTGAATCTGAACAAAAGCAGTGAAAGACTGTCTCGCTTCCTGTGTTTGGTGCTTTTATAGCTTTCACACCTCCATGTGTGAGTGAGTCTGCAGGCCTTACCTGTAAAAAAGAAATAAATTCTTTGACTAAAGTTAGAATAGAAAGCCCACAGAAGCCCCCAGGAAAGGCTGTGCCTGTGTGTCGAAAACAGAAGGAAGCCTGAATACAGAGTTTTTAAAAACTGTGATACTTAAAAAAAAAAAAAAAAAAGGTCTTAATTTTTTTAATGATTTTCCAGTAATGAAACAAATAAATTATAGCAAATAAGATTCTTTTTGAAAATGATTATTTTTTAATTAACTTCTTAACCCTCACCAGAAGTGTGTGCTATGAAACAAGATGAATGGGTTTGTTGGATTTGTTATGTTAAAGTCAGACTTCTGTGCCGTGAAGGTGGCTCTCTTATTTACCTGGCTAGATCACCATGGCAACTCATTCTGAACACATAATTTGGTTCAGAGCAGGTCGTGTTCAGAGTTTAAAATAATCTGAAAGTGCCATATTTTCTACTACACTTCTGGAATCGCAGCTGAGAGAACACAGATAAGAAGTTTAATTAGTCTGTCTGATGGATATTTATCTGAGAGAATATTAATCAGTAAAATCAATTTCACTTTGATTTGGCCAAAGACTCACCCCAGATCAAAGGGACTTCTTGAATCTCTGTTCAGTGGCCTAAAAACTGAAGAAATATGCCATGTTCGGTCTTATGCTTAGCTAGTAGTTGTGGCTCGTTTGTAAAAGGCTGAATATAATACACAATTCTGCAATTATTAGGTCTTGAAAAGACTTTAAAGGCATTCATTTTGCTTTTTAAAATGATGAACACTAAAACAAGAAGGTTTTGTCTTCTGTTGTTTCCACGCAGCTCATTATGAAAATCTCAACTTTCAGCTGAACAAACAGCACATATGGGATCACATAACAGGCCTGCTGCTGATTTATCCATCCTACCTGCTGCACATCATTGAAGTAAGTTCTCCTGCACAGAAACAACAAATGTATGGCTGAAGTTTGTGAAAGTGTGCTCAAAGTTTGCTGTGCCTCTCTCTTCCAGTCGTCCAGGGATATTCTGACTTCTGTTTTGAGAGACGTCAAAGTCATGCAACAACAGCCACACCGGTAATCTTTCTCATACTGCTTCTATATATGTATATTATACGCTGAGATACGGTGCATCCCATTTCACTCATATTTATTGCTTGTCTGCTGTCTGTTAAGAAATTCATGCCACAGAGCCCACAGAGAGGGCAAATATAATCCTGTGGTTGCCTTGCATCAGTTCAGATTCACCAAATGTGGCAAAAGCTTATGATGATGTCTGAGCAGTCGACTCCTTGCAGTGTGTTTTAGCATAAAGACGCAAAGCTGTTGCATCTCTGCTGCCGTCATCTCGCTCAGAGTGTCTGACCATTCCAGACTTTTGTGCTTCCTACTGTTCTAACATGTCAAAACTAAGCTTTTGGTATGAAAAACAGCATTTGAACCTTAACTATCATAAATACATGTCTGGCATCTGTAATAATTCAAGCTGCATGGCAATTAGTAAAAAAATTAGAAAGTTCTGGACTGAAATGATGAGGCGCTGTTGCCTCGCTCCAAAAACGGCCACCACATTGACACATCTTTCCAGTCAACAGCAGTGGACCATTGTGACATTTTTGTGTATATTTCTATGAAGCAGCTCTAGCTGGTCGGCTGTTGCCAGTGTGGCAAACCCCCACAGTGCTTTTGTTGCTTTCGACCAACAGCTGCTCGTTCTGGCTGCAGGCAAATAAATATTTGAGCTTTCACACACAACCTGCTGTTGTGTGTTGTGTGAGCCATAATAATTATTAGCACATCCTTTTTAGCACCTTGCTGGAAGTAAAGATTGTGTTTTTGGATCACAACCCTCAAAGAAGGCTGTTCCAGCAGTGGAGCTACAAGGTTAGCTGTCTTTTATCTTTGCACTTGATTGCTTGAAGTACTTTAATGCATGAGAGGATTATGAGAATACAAACGTTTTAGTACATAAATGAGACATAATAAATACCTTCAGTTGTAGCCAATCTCATGTTTTTAAAGTTCAAGACATTGGATTCTCTGATTGTCTCCTGTGTGTATGTATTGCTGTGTGACTGAAGGTGCTGGGTGCAGATCAGGTGATCAGGGATCCCGCAGTTAAGGTACTGGAGGATGAAGATGTCAGCATAGAGACCCTTGTATGCAGCGTCCTGTCAACGCTGCAAAATCTGAGCAAAAAGCTTGAACAATCTAAGGTGTGTTTCTTTGCAGATGATCTTTTTCCGTTTTGAAAACCAAAACTTTCTCAGAGTTTTTCTCTGACTTCATGATTGCAATCTAAGGCTCCTCCCGGGTCAGTGTTGGATGAGACACCGCAGCTGATCGTCCATCAGAAAATTCTGGAAAGGCTTTTGGGTCGAGAGGAACTCCTGAGCCTGCAGCAGTACCTAGATATGTACAAATCCACCTTAAACATCAGTATTGAGTTTGGTAAGTGACAGCTTCCAGTTGGTGTAAAGATTTATAAGAACATTTCCAATATGAAAATATTAGAACTTAGTAAATATGCACTGATCTTTGTGTTGGATCAGATACATATGGATGCAGATATGATACATACGTAACTCTGTCAATTTTCTGATGGTTTAACAGGACAGCTGAATCCAAGAAACCTTTTCTCCGCTGTTTAACCCCTGAACAAAATGTCAAAGGCCAACTGTTTCCTGACTGACTGTTTCCCTGTAGTGATTTTGGTTCCTACACTGAAAATATTTGCTGCACTTACTGTTCACTTATTCTAGTGATACTTGTGGTCGTCAGACATCCTCTGCCTTTCCTGTCTTTTATGATAAATAGTACGTGTCCAAAAGATCCATTCACTCTTTGCTTCCCTTTTATTGTCTGTGTACCTAGCCATGTACTGCGATCTAATAGTGTGGCATTGTTTTCCCATTCTAAAATAAAGACATATTCAAAAAATACATCACTTATGTCTTCCAACAGGTTTTTGTATTATAACAAGTCACGTGCAAATTGTCATCTGTCACAGTACAGTGGTCCACTACATCCTCAGTTAATAAATGCCAATAAATGAATAAATGCTAGCATTCTGCTACTGCTAACACATACTTGTGCTCAGTTAAAGATTTATAAGGGCACTTCTTTGAATCTGGATTAGTTAAAACAGATTAGAAGCTTTCATGTGTGTATAAGAAGCTGGTGGTTATGCAGGTTAACAAGGACAGTTAAGGCTTGATTATTTTCCTGCTGCTGTGTCTGCCTTGGTTTGAATGACATTGTGAAACTGATCACATGGGTTCGTCTGGACTTCTATGTGCCGCCCATCAGAGAATTTACTTTAAAACACAGCAGCTGCAGGTGGTGGAGTTCATGCTCGGCTGTGGTGTCTGCAGCTGTCCATGTTCCTTAAATCAAAATGACAGATGCTGTAAAGAGGCTCCTGATGCTGTGGTGTCCCGAACACTCACAGGAAGCTGTTTTACTACAGTCAAAGGGGTCTTCATGTTTTATCTTGAGCTCTTCTAATAAAAACGTGAAGAAAAAGTTTACCTACAAAGTTTTCAGTTTTTGTTCTATAGTTCAGTATCTTACAGGCTCCCTAAAACCGAACATCGGTGAGCGGAAGTGATATTAGAAGTTCTCTGAAATACCCCGTGAGGATTTAAATGTCCTTTTTCACTGTTGTACTTGCTGGAAATATTTTTTGCACTCCTGATATTCCAGAAGCCTTTCTGTCATCAGTTACACCGATTTAAATGACATTTATTTGGAACAAAAAGCACAGAACATCCGAGTAATATAAAAAAAAACATTTTTAATAGTTTCAACATTCGGATGAGGATTAATTTAATTTTTTTCTCATTTTATCTTACACTGTGTTCCACTTGGTGACTGAGAGAAAGCAAGTCCAAGAAAAGGCATTTCATCTGTACTCCAAACTTTAAAGAGTCCACAGCATCACCACAGTTTGACACAAAGAACTTTTTAAAAAAAGATTCCTTGATCGATCACGTTTTCCCTTTTTGTTTTGGCCCCCGTTACTTGGAACTTAAAGTTATGCAAAGAAAAGGATGAATGGAGATGGCTGCATGCACCACAGTGTAATCTACAGACTGCGCGGGTCCACGTGACCCTACACGTCACAGTTTTTTTCTCATTTGTAGTTGATTTTAGCAGATATTCAGTCCTCTGAAAGTGAATTATTCTGTCTTATCCTCCATGTTGTTTCGTTGTTGGTCTGTTTGGAGTCTGATGTGCTTTTCTTGATTTGCTATAGATAAAACCGGTGGAACATATGAGGATACGTGGTGAAAGCAAACAGGAAATCATGAATGATTTAAATAAACTCTTAGCAGAACTGACGGGGGAGCTTGACTCAAAAAGGTCAAAGGGCAGCACTGAATTTTCTTCTTTTCTTGCAAAGGTCGATCTATTCACTTATAAAAAATAAATACAAGCACATTTAAATAGGACCAAAGATGAGACGCATTTCATAGGCATGGTTAAAAAGCATGCTTCCGACTTCCACACAGCACAATGTCGATATTTGATACCCCTGCACACTCTTGAAACTATGTCACAACACACACAATCCGCCTTTATCACAACCTATGTGGTGGACATTGTCTATCAGTACATTCCACCGATGTAAAAAAGGCCTTTGAAGTTTAGTGCTCAAAGGGCATGCTTGCAAAAGCTGCAATACTGAAAACTGTCTCTGGAATCTCTTGCCGGCTGTCTTTGCTCGACTGGGTTATTGTTAATAAAGTCGTGTTTGACGTGTTCTGTATGTACAGGCTTTGATCTGAGACCCTTTAGTACAAAAACGAAGAGCAGCACATTGTAACACAGAAACAAAGACAGGACAGACCATTCACCTCAGCACAGCCTAACTGCAACAGCAAATTTGAAAAAGAAACTTTTTTCTAAATATTAAATTTAAATTGTAAAATCATGCTGCATTGATTCAAAATCAGTTTGAACAGCATTTCTTTTATGGCAAAAAATAAGAAGTTGGTAGATTCAAAGATCATTTGAGTACCAGGAAATAATCTGAAACTGTTTTTATCAGTAATTAAATGAATTTTCCAAACATAACAGAGAAATCTGCTCAGATTTGACAACTTTTCTTGGTGCTAAGTGATAGAAAGCTTTCTTTTTCTACAGTTTTTGGAGGAAGCTTAATTTATAGTCCTGTGCTGAATCTGCCTATGCTAAAAAAAAAAGTCAAGGCCCTGAAAATTTAAAATCCGGGCCACACATTTAAACAGGTTCTTAATGTTCGGCCTGGCCAGTGTTCTTTGTGGTCTGCACAGCAACAAGCGTCCCATCAAAATGACATAGACAGGCAGACATCCACAGCACCTGCAAGCTAACAAGCTAGCCAACGAGGAAAGCAAGAAAGGGCTCGGTCTCGTAGTAATAGAGCTGCTTCCTTCACTGTTATGTGCATCCAGAAAGGCTCGGCTATGGTACAGGGAAACAACACGATCTAAGATCATGATCAATCTACGTCTCATGACATGTTGACGGCTTTATGTCCACAAAGTGAGGAGGCTATATGAGTGATACATTATTAATTAAAACTACAAATTAAAAATGTCTGGATCCTCATGTGATTTCTCTTTCCTATCATGGTCCTTTAGTGACTCCCACGCCATAATAAGTGGCGTGGTTTTACAATCATACTTGTGCGCTGTTGTGTCTGCAGTGCTCTGCTGTGTTGGACTTGGAGCTGATAAATGCGGAACAACGGGAAAGACAGAAAAACACCACACGATTACGGTGGTAAAGCAGACCCAGCGTTGCTTAATCTTACTGCTCTCATCAGCGTTGGTTCAGACTAGATCTCAGGACCAGTCACTATGAGATCACAGTGGAGCATTTAGTATCTTGACAGCCAGACATTCCTCTGAGGAGGTGGTGGAAAGCGAAAACACAGGTAAATAGAGAGCAAATAGATAAAAAGGAGCCAGAAACACCTGCCCAGCTGAATGGCAATGTGGCTCCGCAGCTACTGGATGTGTAAAAACCAACTGTTTAAAATGTCCTTGTTGGAATTACAGTCGTAATATAAAAAAATAAACATGAATGGAGTCATTTCCCCAATATTCAATTCTATTAACTGTCAAAATGAGTTGTTTTTCAGTGTTACATTAACACTGGGTAATGAATTAGCACTGTGAGCACACTAAATGCAACTAGAGCCTATTACACGTTGGTTCACAGAGGCATTATCCTTGTAATAATCAATATACATTTTTGAGCATATTACCGCCACTGTAGGCTGCGTTGCCACAGCAGCAAGGTGGATGCCAGGCTATGCCAGAGGATACAGGGTCTCTACAGGTTAATGCAGCACTATAAATTAAGCTTTAGTCAGATAAAAGAAGCATCTTGATGGTTTGGATGACCTCTGGTATTTCTTTTTTGTACCAATTTAAAATTTTCTGCTTGTGAAAAAATCTGTTCTATGCAAACTGTTGTTTAACGTCTGTTTTTTCTTAAACATATAACCTCTGTTGCATTGCTGTCTGGTTCTGCTGTCTAAAAGACAGTAATGCAGCAGTTTTCATGCAGTCTGTTTAAACCTTTCAAACTGTGATCGATGTGTCACTGCAACTGCAGCACCCCACAGACACTTTTTATTTCTTAAGAACACACAATCACATTTCCACGAATCTCAAATATACCAGGAAATGTGCTCAAAGCTGCACGAGACGTCTTGAATTTTCACGTAGCTGCAGTGATGTGTTGTTGTTTTTTTGTTGTCTAAAATCAAATCTAAAAGTTCAAGAGGTTCATTCTGAGGTCAGAAACTGCAAAACAAGCACTAGATTTGACCTTTCAGTCTGCTGTACCATGTTAGGCTTGTGCTAGTTCCAGCAACATTATAATATTATACATATAGTATGGATGTTCATCATCATTTATCCTTTTCAATACAGTATTTGTATATATCTATATATATATATGAATTTCTCCCTTCAGTATATACAGAACAAACTGTATAGAGGCTTCGGTATTTACAAGAGTCCTGTGAGTGATATCGCGCTTTAAAGAAAGACACAGGTAGAGCAGCACAGTGACTTTGAGGCCATGTGTAGTGGATGTTTTCAGGACAAAAGGAAAGTCGTATAAATCTGGATAGGTCACAACAAAAACCCACCGCAAGGCAAATAGCAAACTACTGCTGTCGTACACAAACCTTGTTACTCCAGTTTAACTGATTTTCAAGTTTCCTCTTAAACTGAACCTGCGATTCCTGAAAAGGTTTTGATGCGGCAGCAGAGCAATTCTGGTCCCACGTTTGAATACTTGAAAAAAAATTCCTCAGATTCATGTGCAGCGGAAACGACCACAGCTCCTCATACCTAGTAAAAAGTATTCAGAAATATATCTGTATAAATACTCTCATCAAAATAAACACATATACACACATATCTTTGCACTTGCCTCTGGTTCACTAAAATAGACCAAAAATATCAGCATCATCAGGCAGGGTTCCTATAAACTGTAATGTGAATGTGGCTGAAAATGACAGAAAAACTGTGCTTATTTATAAGAGACCAAGCACCTTTTTTCTGAAAGTGTCTCTAGACTGTTTTCTGGCTTTGCTACGATATGACAGGATGTTAAATGTGTCAGGGCTGTTGCTCTTTCCCAAGAATGGTTCAATATGTCAATACAAGTTTGCACTGTATGAATCCTGGAGTGTGATACAGCAGGTTCATAATCTCTAAAATCTTTGTTTTTTAGCATCTTTCCACCTGTTGTTTGCGTTCTGTGTCAGTCTTACTGGTTTCATCAGTGTTGTTTCAAACAACATCTGCTAAGCTAACAGGAAACACAAAGTTAGCAGCTGGCCGGTGCATTTAATGGAGTGTTGGGCACCTAAAGAGCCAGATATGTCTCTCTCATGAAGTGGTGGAGACCAAAAACTGAGCTAAAAAGAGAAAAAGTATAAAGAAAAGCAGATGAATTGAATGATATTGCTTGCTAAGGGTGTACGGCAATCACACATGCCTAAATATGACTGCCTAGCAACCACTGATCGCTAAGGAAAAAGTTATATTGGCCAAATCGTTGGAGGTGCGTGACGGGTGAAATTGTTCACAAAGAGGGTGTTGCACCAAGAACCTCTGATCTAAATTATTATTGCATGGCACAAGCATGCAATTGGGTTTCAGAGTGCAGTGAAGCGCATGCTACTTCCTATGTGAAAAGGAAACAGACTGTTCACCATCAAAGTAAAAGTCGTGCCTTACAACTGCATCCAACACCTTTCAAAACATGAAACTTTAATTTTTTACTTCAACTGTTTTTAAGGCGAATGATCTCCATTTCCACTCTGCATCCCACTTTCCACAGTTTCATTACTGCTCAGCAACCGTGGCAATCTGCAAGCAACCAAAGCAATCACAAGGTGGTCTTTGGTGCATTACCGTATACCTCTTTCTGACCAATTTCACCTAGAGACTGCCAGCAATTTCTAGCAACCATTTGGCAACCAGTTGGGGAATACAAATTTTCTCTAGTGACCGGTGGGTACCATGGGATCACTGACAGGTCTTTAGGCCTGTGCGACTGGGACCTTAATCTACAGAGTCAGGATGAGGAGGTTAACCATTTAGGAGTTCAGAGTAGATCTGCCAACTCAGGTGGTTTGATTATGATGCCTCCTAAGTGAAGTGTTGTCGGCATGTCTTACTGGGGGGCGACCTTAGCCCAAAGCCAGCAGACGCTATTCAGATTTGAGCTCTCGGCTGGCTGCAGAATTCCCCGGTTTCCCACCAGAAAACCTGGAAATTGGGAGATCTGGGCATCTCTGCCTACCATGGCCTGAACCCAGGTAGGCAGCAGAGAAATAATGGATGGGTGGATAGCAGGTCCAAAAGTGATACAATATAAATTAATTAGGTTTGCCAAATTATTTAGCATAGTGTTTGAGGACAAGCATCGAATCGCTATCGAGCTAATGCGCTGACCAACAGTTAGTGGGAACAGCACAGCAATGAGCCCAGAAAAAGTAAAGAGAGGACAACTACCTGCCAGCAAACTGCCAAGTAAACAATGCAAAATGTTTAATATTTAATAGGTGTCTGTCTAATGTCTCGTGACAAAGGAAACACACAAGAAAACCCCACAGGGCACCCCACCCACAGAGCTGGCCATTCAGAGCCTCCGCTACTGCTATGTGGATGAAGTTTATTTTATTTTTAAAAAATAAACGATGTGGTTATGCACTCCAGGCTTCACAGTTACAAACTTGTACATCCTTGAAACTGAAATGACGCCTAACTCGACAAAGAAAAATGAAAGATCTCATTCGGCTTTGCGTCCTGCCAAAAAATATTTCTGAGTAAACACAATTGAGTTTTTCATTTTTCATACTGGTGGACGTTTCATAAACTACAGCATGTATCTCATATACTTTATAGCTCCCTGACAGCATCAACTATATAGCTCTCCCGTGGATACAAAATATGATCTGGGTTAGATTGTTAATCGTATCATACACTCTGAAAATGTACAGTATAAACAATAAATATCCAGTGACTGATATCCTGACTGAATGCCTTGTTATAAAGAGAAAGGAGTGATTGGGCGTTTAACCGCTTCCCAACCTGCTTAGTTAACTTCTAAACGTCTAAAACATTCATTCCTTTTTTTGCTCCACGACACCGACAGTGCAACATCATATAATACAATTACCACTTCACTTAACACGTCACACACACTAGCAAAACACACGCGCGCGCGCTTTCCAAAACGACACACTGGCACACTCACAGTGAACGCTCAAGTGGGACTGAAATTCGGGGCCAGAGGCGTTTCAAGCCAAGAGGAGATGAACGGTGAGAGTAGGAAGTTAACAGGACAGATATACAGCACTGTGTTAGTTTGTTCTGAAATTCACTCATGAAAAGCAGCAGCAGCAGCAAAGAGCACTCATCCTCCCAGCAGCCTGTTTCCAGTCTCGTGTGAGTGAGGTTAAAGGCAATATTGCAAGTGAATCAAATAAGGCAGAAAGAAAAAGAAAACATTAAGTTAAATAAAAAAAAAAAAAACATCCAGCCAATGCAAAATGTCAAATCTTCCCCTGACAACACTGTCGCCAAAACCGTGTGTATGTGTGTTCACCAGATTTTTTTGTTTTACTGTATAGAAGTGCTTTTTTCTTTTGTACGCGCTGGCCCCTCTGGATCGAGCACAGGTGAGGCGTGATGAGGAGGTCCAGAGGTGGCCGCTGAGGCCGAAGTTAATGCAGCTGGAGAGGTGAAAGGTCAATGAATGATCGAGACGGCACAGCAGTAGCTTGACGGAGAGGGTGGGGGAACTCGGTGGCGTCATAGCACTGTGCTCTCAGACTCTTCCTCCGAGTCCTCTTTGCTGTTGGCCGACTCCAGCTGTGCCACTGAGTTCCTGAAGGGGGAGATGTGGGTCAAGTCAAAAATACTGTCCAGTTCCATGTTAATGACGGGGATGTCCAAGTTGCAGAGGGAATCTGGCAGAACAGAGAGAACAAGCAGAGGATAAGCAGACAGATAAAAACCGTGCAAACAGAGAAAAAGATCCTTCCAGATGTGATTCATCAGCGCTGAATGATGTCACACACAGCAGACGTCCAAACCAAGGTTGGAAGCGTGAAGAAATAAATTAAAAATGCATGACAGGGATTCACAGTGTAAAAAGTGTATGTGTCTGTTGAACATCACCATTCCCTAATGGTGGGCAGGGGTGTCAAACATGAGGCCCAGGGGCCAGAATTGGCCCAGAGAAGACTCCAATCTGGCCCGTTGGATGACTTTGAAAAATGTGAGAGCTTGTGTCTGTGTGGAGCTAGCTCTGTGTAGAGGGGACAATGACACAACAAACACTAACTATCGATAAAGTTAGATCATTTTGACCAAACTAGCATTTTATGCAACACAATTAAGATTTCCTGTCACTGAAGGCTATTTGTCAAAATCAAAATCCTGCTGATGTACCACATGGACTTAATATATGCAGGCAAAACAAAATCCAAACAATATCTGTGCAGTTTACAAGCTCTTTTTATCCACTGCAAGCAAGCAGGCAACAAAGGGTCATGGCTTCTGAGGCAAGGAAAGTTCAGCGTACCCAGGATCTCTTTCTGTTATCTGGATTCACCCTAACGTCAACAATCAGGCTAAACCCTGGTGTGCATCAGTCTAACTATGAGAATCTGACCAGACACTTTTATCAGTAAGACTGGAAAACAATTGCTAAAAAAAACAAGGTTTAGTCTATATTAACCCACAAAAGAAAACTAAAAACTCAGACTGTAAGGCTGACAGTAAAAATTTGATGGTTTACAATCAAGAGGCTCAAGAAAACATGATGCTATTTTACAGAGAACTGATTGGTCAGTAGGTGGTGACTTCATAACTGTTAATGTCTAATTTTAAACATTTTCTGCTTCGATCCAGGTTAGGTTTACACCGTGTTACCATGGTAATATACCTAGTAAAGGCAAACAACCTACATAATACTGAAAACCCCAGGTTAGACCTGAAGTTACCTGGATAAGCTGAGCTCTCCCTTCATATATTACAGACCTTTGGTGCTTGTGCTTACCTACCTATATAGAAATTTGGCTAGTATGCCATGCAGTACATGTGTACTTATATAATATATTACTATAATATTGACAGTGAAGACATCTAGTGTACAACATGTGATGGAAAACTGGTGCAGACAGGAAGTGCGCTGACTGAGGGGCAGAGGTGGAGTCGGTGGGAAGCGTGAGGGGTGTGTGGGTGGGGTGACAGATGAAGCCAGGGAGAGGAGGGGCAGCTGGAGCAGGGCATTATGGGTGGGAATCCTAAGCGCAGGAGAGGTTGGGATCGGTGGACAGTCCGGTATGCACGCCCATGTAAGCCATGCATCAGTCTCAGCCACCATGCAAAGGCCAACAAAATGAGTAAAAGGTGGACTGAACACAGCGCCTGTATGGTCATATGAGTGAGGCTGCCGTAGAGCAGCGGATAATCTTAAACCTGCATCTACTGGCAGCTTCACTGTGTTGTGAGCATGTCAGCGGGCGGCTCCATGTTTGGGGTTTGAGGGTACCGAAGAGGAGGGGAAGGGAGGCTTTAGCACAGAAACTCCTGCTTACCCTAAAAGTCCCTCTCACACACAGAATCACACTGAACCTCTCGCCTCATACCGCTGCAGGTGAGACGATAAGAGGGGAAGAAATTACATGAAAATCATGATTAGAACCTGCAGGTGATGGAGAGGCAAACAAATGCATAATACACGACTCCTCTCCTGATGGAGAAGGACACCAAAGGATAGTCTGCTGTTATCCTACATCTATCATTATTGCCAATAAATGTCATGAAAAGACCAAAAACAGTGCATATACATCCAAGTACATGAACTTAAATAATAAGAATTCATAATATTTGTCAAACTATGGCATATTATTTATCAAATCTACATATAGCAAAAATAATTACGAACACAAAGTGCTTTAAAAAAAAAAACGGTCAAGTTTAGCATTACCAGTGGACATGCTTTCCCCAGGAGAAAGGCCGTCCAGGAGCCCAGATGAGTGCTCCAGAGGCTGGGGACTAGTGCCAGGTGTGGATGGAGGCTGAGGAGGAGGCAGGCTGGGTCTCTGCCGGGGCGGCTTGGGGGTCGGTCTGGCCTTGGTGAGAGTCCCAGCCAACGAGGGCGGAGAGGACAGAGACGGGGTGGTGACCATCTGCAACTGACCCGGGGAGCTGATGGTGGCATATCCCTGCGGGTAGCTGAAGCCATATGGGGAAGGGGTGCTGGGAGGAGTGGGAGACAGGCTGACTGGAGACGGTTGACCTGTGGACTGGTCAGACATGGCTCCCGTTGGGCAGTAAGGGCCTTTAGGCGGGATCGGAGCCAGCTTCTTTGCTGTAGAGAGACCACCAAGAAAGAACACAAGATGATCGGGGTCTGCAATATTTCCAAAATAAAAAGGCATTTAGCAGTCTGCTAGCATGTCTGTTTGTCAAATTAAAAGTGTTAAATTTTTATAGAAATCTGCGGTGATGCTTTAAAGTACCAGATTTTCAACATAAAAGAAAAAAAAACTTTGACATGCCCATTTTTCCAAAGTAAAAGAAATTTGCTTTAATTTGCCAGATCTTCAATATAAAAGCTGACAGTTATAAAAAAAAAGTTACCATGATAACAAATGTCTCTATATTTCTGAAATAAAAGCAACCAGTTTGCTTTAAGAATAAACAAATGTTTTGACATGCTATTTCAAAGTAAAAATCACTTTTTAGTCATAGAAATGTATCCGGATGCTTCATAGTACCAGATTTCCAACATAAAAGCTCCTTGTTAGCCACAAAAAAGTTATCAGGGTGAACCAAAGTCATATTTCCAAAACAAAAGAGTTTTAGGAATTTACCAGCATAATCTGACATCTTTGTTTTTCAGTTAAAGTAATTTAAAAGAGTGTGGGAAGCTACGAAAAAGATGCATAAATAAAACGTTTAACAGGATTATCACATTTATCAGTTTTACAAAATAAATGTAGTTATCAGGATTCCCAGAAATGTCAGATTTTCAAAGTACCAAAGTCAATGTAATTCAAATGTTTAATATGTTCTGGCCATATTAACAAATGCACTAATGTTTCTGCATCGTGACCTTCATCAGAGCGCGACCTCTTGTCATTCTTTTCTTCTGTATGAAGCTGTTTTTTGGTCAAATTTCCCACATATCAAATCATATAAAACAATTTCTTTTACAGGCCAACTCTGACAAGTGATGTGTGAAATCAAAGTTTAAGTGTAAAAGAGATGCTTGTCTCATCTTCAGTCTAATAAACTCTGAAGTTCCCCAGACAAATTTACCCATCAAATTGCTCATTAATTATAATATCTGCCTTAATTAAACCCTTCAATCATACAGCATCAAGTCAAGTTTATTTCTTCAAACTAAACATCGCCCTCTTATCCTTCGAGTCTGAGGATATTTTAGCAAATAAAACTCTACTGCAGCCGTCAGTCAGTTATTATGTGGTTTTCCAAGGACCTTTTCCCCTCTTTTGTGCAGCAACCAGAGTGGAAACAAAGAATGAAAACACACTTTTGCAGATTTACATCCTCTCCACACGAGAGGTTCCACTGTAACTTAAAATGACCTCATTCACAGCACTGACTAATAGATTAGACAGATTCTATTAGAGCCTGAGAGACAGCTAAATGAACACAGCGTGCTGCATCTTTTTTTGCTGTCACAGTACTGGGCAAGGTGCAGTTTTTAAATCCCCAAAAGTAATTACTTTTACTATTTTTACCATGTTTTTGAGACAAGCTGAGATCCCTGTCATACACGCCCAGTTAGTTGTATTACCTCTCCTCAAGGTGTGCGGACTGTGGTCAGAGAGCTGCGACTGTCCACTAGAGGTCACTGCTCCCTGGAGCCCCTTCTGTCCAATCACTGGAGACAGCTCCTTGTTCTTCAGAGTACTGAGGAGAGAGTGAAGGACAAAACACACAAACACACACATTACGATATACTTTCTTCTGTAATTTACTAACCCTGCCTCCATAAATCTCTTTGTTTTATAAAAAAAAAGGAAAATATATGAGAGCAGCCATAATTCCCGGTGACCACTGTTGCAGATGGACATGTAGCTTTTACAGTTGAGCAAAAAAAGAAGGAAAGAAAATTCAAACATATCCTGACAGCTTAATAAATTTTCCTTACTCCTACAGCACAGTGTAGCCAGAATGCCAATGGGAAGAAGGTCTTAAGGTCAAAACATAACCAGTTTACTCTCTGATCGACTGACTCTCCTCAGCTACGCCTCAACACACTCTCACTCTTCAGCAAACGAGACATGGAAGCAGCCGGCATTCAAAGGGAAGCTATTATGCTGATACGATATCTGGATTTTCATATTAAACATGGCTGAAGTTTCAAATTAATGAGGTCAGCATATGTAAAAGTAATATCTGTGATACTACTACTACTTACCTTCTGCCCTATTTCAGCCAGTTTTTCCTGCTCTTAGCTCTGAATGATGTCAGAGAGAGTGGACAGACCACCTGCTGTTCAAATCTGTTTATAAGCGGCAGAAGATAGCAATGTTTTCTGATATTTACTAAGATGTATTTGACTGTTCAACACCTCCAAACATCTCTTACAGGACTGTGACCTCATCTTTTTTTAAAGGACGCTTTATGAGACTGTGGTTGTCTTTGGTTTTGTCTGACATGTGGTAGTTAGCAGTGTGTACTTCCTCCCTCTTTTAATGGTTGCTGGTAATCAGCTTGTAGATGGGTAATGCAACCTTACATAAGGGGAAACTATTTATTCTCTATCAGTGAAAATATGTATAAAAAAAGCAAAATAGGTCCCCTTTAAACTCATATGAACATGTTGCTGTAAACCAAAGCAGATGCTTTTTGGGGTTTCCTTAAATATCAAACAATGCTGTTTTGCTCCTGCATACATCATTGCCTTCGCATTCAAAATCTCACTGACTCATTAACGCTGACTTTTATAATCATTGACTGAAAGCTTTGGATTTCCTTTGTTGCCTGGCAACAGGCTCCTGAATACCCTGCTCACATGGAAAGTTATGGATTGCATACATGGCAGCAAAATTAAAGATGGATGTGATAATGGAATCCTTAAAGCGCTTTGATTTCTATAAGAGACAGCTGCAAACCAAGCGAGTTAATAGGACACAGAGTAGGGTGGCACTGAAGGGAGTTTCTTTTTTTCTTTTTTTAAAAAAATCACCCCTCTCTTGTGCTTCCTTGTCCCTGCGGGGGCCTCTCCTTATTTGTGTGTGATTTGTGTTAGTGGGAGCGGGTTGAGCAGGGCTCTGTATTTACCTCGTCAGCTTGGCTCCTCTCTCCCGGCTACAGGCACAGGCTGCCCATGGAGGTGGAGCAGGGAGAGGGGTGCTGGGGGTTTTCGGGGAGCCAAGGAAGAGATCGTGACGAGTGAGAACGAGCGGGGGTTTGATGTAAAGGGAGGAGCCATTCGTTTCGGACGGGGGCCCATGCGGAGCAATAGACGGGGAGGCCGGTTTGGGCAGATGCAGGGAGTTAGGTTTGGGGTTGGAGTTGACGTCAAGCTGCTGAGGGGACGGGCACAGGGAGTGAAGGAGCGGGGGTGGGCTGTACCCAGTGCGGCGGGGTGGAGGGGACGGGCCAGGGGGCACAGATTCGGGGCTGGGGGCAACGGGACGCATACCCGGAGGTGTTCGGGTGCGGAAATGGTGGTGAGGGAGCGAGTAGGAAGAGCAAGAGGAGGAGGAAGAGGAGGAAGAAGAGGAAGAGGGGTAAGGGGGAGGCGGCCTCTCCTCCTCTGGGGAGGGGTAGGCGTAACAGGAGTCCGACCAATTGGAGGATGCATCGTCTGAACTGCAATGATAGAAATATCAGTGATTCAAGCGGATGAATTCATTAGTTCTAGGACGAGGGATGTGTGGATTTGAAACTTTAAGTTTGGTCCATAACGAGGGAAAAATCAGGGGAAAAATCAGGTGAGGAGTAATCGTTGTTGGGACAGTGAAGTGAAGGCTCCAGGAGGGAAAGAGCACAAAGAAAACAAAATAATAAAACAGAAAATCAGCCACCTCATCCATTGCAGGCTCCTGCGACAATGGACCGTTATGCTGCTAATGATGCTCGGACTGATGGCAAAAGAAAAATAGAGATGTGATCCATGCACATGCAGCAATAAATAGTTTTCTACTGAACTGTGGATGAACCTTTCAACACATTTTGGTTAAACCCAGCCCTAAGTAGAAGTGAAATCTTCACATGATATGCAGTATCACCACTCAGGCAGAAAATTAACTCCACGCGTGACTCAGGAAATTCAGGGGGTGAGGAGATGTTGAAATGAAAAGAAGTTCTAAATGACATGCCTCATCAGGGTGGGTTCACACAGAGGTGAGGATGAACGACAGACAAGAAAACAAGGGGTGGAGGTGGGGTGGGTGGGGGTTGGAAGGGGCAGACAGCGCAGTTCGGGTGTCATTTGCAGGGCGCGGCAGCAGACGCGGTGACGAGCGAGCAGCGGCAGCAGGTGTGTGTGCAGGCGTGGAGCAGGAGTAAAGGAGGGGTGGGGAGGTGAAACAGGAGGACGGGTGGGGCCACAACTGCCTTACCTGGCTCGGTCGCTGCTAGTGGGAGGAGGGGTGGGGGAGGGGGAGGCTGAGAATTCCCCAGGCTGCTCGGGGATGAGCGCGTCAATGGGTGGGGTGGGGGGGTGCACACTCGGTGGCGTGGACAAGGATTTACGCGTAGACGACGATCCCCTGCGCGACACCCAAGAAGTGTCCATCACCCTGACACCCATGCTGCAGTGGGACAGAGATGCACAGCCAATCAAGTCAAAGGGCGTGTTTGTCTGTGTGTAGTTCAGGGGTCAGGTTTCCACACCCAAAACACATCATCCGGGGGGTAAAAGGGATCGGCTTTCCTGTCTCTCATTTATATCAGTGCATTTAAAAAAGGCCGAACCCAGACGAGCAGGTAGGGTCGCTCAGCTTCACTCACACGATTCCCAGCATGCAACAACACACATTCTCCTGCAACATGATGGAAAATAACTAATATATATTTTAAATAACTCAACAAACAAAAATTAGTTTGGATGAAACAGGATGTGCGTTTCCGTCCTTTTCATTTTAAGTGCAAATCAGCAGAATTAATTGATGGCTGCATGCAAGTGGAAACATCCAGGACTAAGGAAATGAGGCCAGAGCAGGACTTCGCGAAGCAGTGTGTGACATCACAGTTGCTACATCCATCTTTTCTACTGTCTCCTGATGAGAACGGTATGTTGTTTCAGGGCTTCAACTTATATATAATTCAGACGGCTGGTGCTAATCCAGTGAATTCTGCAGGGTTTTTAATGCATTTATCCCACTGTGGGCTTGATTCTGCTAGCTGAGGAAAACAGTCATTGTCAAACTAATTAATTACACATGTACTTTCCTGTGTCATTAAAACAGAATTGATCGATCTCATATAGGTCTCTTGGCTGTCTAGAGTTTGAGGAAGATCGATGCCACACTTAAGGTTTGTCAATTCTTCTTAGGGTTTGAGGTAGTTTAACTTAATATGGCACAAAGTCTGTTGGAACAGCAGGCCCAAGGTAACTAAATCCACCCACCACTCCCTTCTTAGCTGCTCTTCTTCTGTATAAAACCAAATGTGGTTTTATGTATTTTATATCTAAGGTGACCCTTGCCTGGAAACAAATGCCTATAGAAAAAAAAGAAAAAAATGTAATTGAATTCAAAAAATGAAAGAAATCTACACAAGCCAATACAAACAAACAAAATAAATAAATAAAAATAAAAAGATGGATATGAAAAGATATGAAAGTGAAGCCAATGCATCAGACCTGCATTCTTTCAAATGGCCAGCAGGTGGCGACTCTTCTGGATCCAAACAGAAGTCAGATTCTATAAAAGTAAAACCTTTCCTCGCAAGTTTATGCTTTGAATCACTTTGTTTCTTAGCAAATACAGCATTATGTTGTAAATGTTGGCCCTATTTAAAGTAAACTAGAGGAAAACCTTGGTACATTACCTACTGTACTTCAAAACGACGTGTGATGTCAAGGTGGCTACTTTAAAGTCAATAACTGTCTCAAGTTGGATACTTTGTCTATACACTTACCATAAGTACACAAGTATACTACTAATAGTGTAGTAGTAGTGTTGTCTTAAATCAAACACAAAAGTAAACTTTTCAGGGCGATGCTGCAGGTCATAAATCACGAAACCTCCTGAGTTTTCCTTTGTTTAAAAGAAGTATCCTCTAATGAGTCTAAAATGCGTTTTGGACAAATGAATATTAGAAAGAAAAATTCCATCACATGTAGACAGCTGACTCCGGCTGATGGAGCAGAGCTGTGCTGGAGGGCTGATCTAATTCGAAAAGCTTTTTATTTAATTACTGAAAGGCTGCACACTGTATAGATGGTTGACCACAAGCAGCAGACGCCCCCCTACCCAATCTGCACTTAGACAATAACACAGATAATGCAAGGTCAGTAAAAAGTATAGTGTTTTACCCCAGCTAAACTAACTGGCTTCCATTTCAAACAGATTACCACAAAAACCCCTCAATTAGTACGATAAGACAAAAACAGTAACTGTAACTATGCAGTCAGGTGAGATAAGCAACAAGAGACTATTGTATCCACAGGCTGAACGAGTCAGTTCAGTATCAGAAACTGCAAAGATGCCTCTTACTTATGTAAACAGAGAGAAACAGGCCTGTTTATTCACGTCCCCCCACTCTGCTGAGATACTGAACTACAGGAGTCCAAATATATCATTTCACACACACCCCTATGAAGCAATACACACTCAGACACATGACAAATGAGAGACAGCTCCTTTCAACGTGCAGCTGAGACGAACAGATGATGAACAGAGTGACATGAGGATGAGTGGAGGAAAAGGAGCTATACCGTACCTTTGTATCTTCCTAATGCTGCAGTGTTAAAACAGAGACAAGCACAGTGAGGACACGAGCAGAGACCACGAAAGACTCGTACGCTTGGACTCGATAATAGCATTGTTATCAAAGAAGTGAAACAGGATAACGCTTTAAGAGAGGAGAACAGTGAAATATTGAGGCCATGTCGAAAACTAAGGAGGAATTTAGCTATAATCAGGTCAATGTTTCCCTGCTGGATACAGTAAAATCCCCCAAAACATGCGAGAGGTTTCCTGCAGCTGCAGTGAGTCTTTAGTAAGTGTGGTTTCTCTGCAGTGGTAGAAACACAAAGTAAAAATGACTGGCACTTTGTCTTGACATTTCTTTTTGTTGGTCTCTGATTGAGCAATAACAAGCATTTCTACTGATATTACCAAGCGTGTACACACAGCCTGGGAAGAAACAGGTTTTATGAAGGATCTTTCAGTGAGTTTTGCACAGACTTTCACTCCCAGTCACAACCAGCAGTGATTTAGTGTAGTTCACGATAAAGGACGTGTTTCAACAGGCAGCATTTCTGAACTCTCAACATCTGTTTTCTATAGAAATCCAGCCTATAGTCAGACCCTTTGGCAAGTCTTTGAATATCAATTCTCTCATCAAAATCAAGAAGTGAACAAGATTTATCTTACCAACATTAAATATAAGGGTGGCAGAGAAAACCTTACCAAAGATGGTTTTGGAACCCATAGCAATGATTTGCTATAGGTTACAGAGACTCTAATGAGGCATCAGTCTTTCTTATCGGTTTACACGAAATACAGATGTTATTTTGAGATTTTTGTAACAGTTTTCCTAAAAATGAACAACTTTCCCAAAAGATCCTAACAAGTCATCAAACATCAGTAGGGGTTAAAGTGGAATTTGGCAGGTGGAGGAGTCCTAAGATCTGCGGTAACAGGGCAGCAGGAGACTTAAAAAGGCATAAAATCTCTATGGATTTAACCAGCTTCGTCATACATTATATATAAGCAGATGTTAGAAGAGCCATCATGGCTGCTCTCCAACCCCTGGCCAGTATGAAGCCAGTATAAAGGTGGAATTTGGAAATGTTGCTAAAGAGCACCACCAGCTTAAAGGACTTCAAGTAGTTCTTCTGGGAGCAAATCCTGCAACTCAGCAGATATCATGAAGTACCTCTATTTAGACCTCAGTAGAGTGAATGAGTCCTAAAACCTGGAAATGAGTTAGCATTTTGCACTTCTAGTTCGCAGGCAGTGGGTTCTAAAAATGTTCAGTTTTTTTTTTAATGCTTTAATACATTCGTAGTAGTTTTTGTAGCTCTGAACATTTTTTTTTTGTTCTATTGCAAAAAATTACGTAGTAAATACCTGACTCATGAAATTTGAAGCTTTTACTTCAGAAGATAGACGGCTAAACAAGCAAAATTAACATTCAGGATAATTGTGGTGCACATAGAAGCTTAGTGGTGGTGATTTAGCATTAGCGTTGCACTTCTTGTGATTGATTCAGTGATTGAGTGCTATCAATCAGGTTGTGTTGTGTAACAAAACATATAAGTATCATAAGTTTTATTTTGCAGTGCGCTGAAGAAGCGCACTGCAAAATAAAACAACTAGTCTAATGGAAGCTCCACCCACCTGCTGTTCAGACCTTCTGTTTGTGTGGCTCAGCCAATCAGAAGAAAATGGGTGGAGCTCAAACTGTGAGTTTCAGACAGAGGATGAAGAGTAGGGCTGTAGCAAGGCTGAGGTAAGACATACTAGGATTGTTTTGAACTGTGAATCATGCAAAGCTACTCCAGGAGAATCCAAAAATAAGATTACAGGGCTGGAAATGGCTGTAATAGGTGCCCTTTAAACTTACACTTTTAACATTAAGTGAATATAATGATTGTTGCTTTTTAATCCAAGCTGGGATCTAATCTGTGCTATCAGTGTCAAAGAAGAAGAAGAATGTTGGGCTATTTGTCTAATCATCACCTGCTCTCCCAGAGTTGCAGAGAAGTGCCGCAAGTTTAGTATCTAAATATTAATTAACTTATTAGACTGACATAAATTAAGTAAGAAATTAAAGAGGACTCATGTAAAAGCAGACTTTCTTTTGGTGGAGCAACAGCCTTTGGTTCTAAGGACTGTTTCTACTGAAAGTTGAGCTCTATTGATCCGACCCACACGGTCCAGGTTTAATTAGTCGGGCTACTTGTGGCCCCTGGGCTGCAGAGCTCAGGCTCCCCCCAGGCCCTGATAAGACCATGGGTGTATTAAAGCATTAGAGAAAGACACTCAGATTCAGACAGTGAAAGAGAAAGAAAGCGACTGACTGGTTTTCAGCTAATCCCTCTTCACAGTTTGAGGATTGTCGGATTGCTCATTTCACAGACTAAATGTCAGCTCACCCTCTGTCTTTTTCTTTCTCACTTCCAGATGTCTCAGTGAGCTGCAGAGAAAAGTTATGAGGGCAGGTCCTGTAGATAAAGAGTGAAACTGTATCGTTTTCTGTCCACCTCAGAGTGAAACTGAGCTTCTCACTGAGGTCACTTCTCACGGCAAACTTGTGTAATCGTTGGGGAATTTTCCTTCTCTTACTTCACACGTCCGACCCTGTCAGGAAGCAGTCGTGTGGAAAGTTTATGAGCCTCAATGTGGCCTTGTGTAGAAAAAATGTCTCTAGCTGTCAGTCAGCTGGATGACAGTGTACGCAGAGAAGACTGCTAATTAATTCAGAGACAGGTTTAAACAGGTGGAATCAGTGGAAGTTTTAGACGAGAACGTTTTATTTAGGGAGTCAGTCTGTGCACATATAAACCGTTTATATTTGTTTGCATATTAAAATCATACTGCAACAGACACTCACCGGCCACTTTATTAGGCACACCTGTTTAACTGCTCATTAATGCAAATTATCTCATCAGCCAATCATATGGCAGTAACTCAATCTATGCAGGCGGGTAGACATGGTCAAGATAATCTGCTGAATTTCAAACCGAGTATCAAGAAGAAAGAACAAAATTGTGACTGGCTGACAGAGAAGTTGGTCAGAGTATTTCAGAAACTGATGATCTTCTGGGATTTTTCCACACAACCATCTCTGGGATTTACAGAAAAAGACCAAAGACAAAAAATATCCAGTGAGCGGCAGTTCTCTGGGCAAAAATGCCTCGTTGATGCAAGAGGTCAGAGGAAATCGGCTAAGTTACCCTGAGCTTATAGGGAGGCAACCATGAGAGACACAGAAGAACATCTCTGAACTCACAAAAGGTCAAAGCAGACTGACTCTAGCAGCAGACCACACCAAGAACAGGAAACTGAGGCTACAATTTACATCAGCTCATCAAAATTGGCCAATAGAAGAGTAGAAAGATGTGGTCTGGTCTGAAAAGTCTTGATTTCTGTTGCAACTTTGCAGTAAACAGCACAAAAGCACGGCTCCATCCTGCAGGTCAGGCTGCTGGTGGTGTAATAGCGTGGGGATATTTTATTGGCACACTTTAATTCCCTTAGGACCTACGGAGTGTCATTTAAACACCACATCATACCTGAGTATTGTTAATGATCATGTCCATCCCTTAATAATAGATGTCAGGTCACAAAGCTCAAATAATCTCAAACTGGTTTCTTGAACATGACAGTGAGTTGATTGTACCTAAACGACCTCCACAGTCACCAGATCTCAATCCAGTAGAGGACCTTTGGTGTGCGGTGGAACGGGACATTCACATATTGGATCAGCAGGAACTGTGTGACTCTATCATGTCAGTATGGACCAAAATCTGAGGAATGGTTCCAGCACTTGGCTAAATCTATGCCTTTAAAAACGAAGACAGTGTTGCAAGAAAAAACAGGGTCCAACCGAGTAGTAGCAAGGTGTACTTAATAATGTGGCTGGTGAGTGTATATTCTGTACTAACCTACACTTTCATAAGTTGCCCATGCCAATCTTTCCAGATCTGCAGTGACTAAAAGTACACTGTAACCCTTCTCTCGCTTGTTTCTAAGATTATGTGCATTCTTACTTTAGGCCTAATCCCAATACTGTTTTTAATGTACTGATACTTGATTTTAAGGCCGATATCAATATTTGGCGATTTAAAAATCTAATATATTTGTTATGTGCAGTTATCTATGAATCTATGACAGTACAGCTTAAAAGTAATCTTGTTCTGTGAATTATTTGTTTACATTCTGCTTGGATCTGCTGATTGCTGTGTTTCAAACATATATGCTGCCAGTGGGAAGTTGCAGAGAGCTTTCTGAAACAAATCATACAAGATCAACTCTCATAATTTTCAGCCGTCATAAATGCCAGTACCAATATCCGCAAATAGCTAATATCTGCCAACATATCGGTCGGGCTCTGAAATGCATCGCTAAGAGACACAGAAGAGTCATACCCGTCCTTCTTATAAAACTCCAGCATCATGTTGTCTGTGGCGACGCTGAGCGGCCGCCGGCTCTGGTCGTTCTGCTTGCGATCCATCTGATCCATATCTGGAGACGGCATCGAGCTGTAGTTGGCGTTGTGGTTGGTGTGGACGGGGCTGCCGTAGTTTCCTGTGACATTGAACTCGATCTCTAACGAAGACAGAAGAAAACAGGAACAACTCAGTATTTTATTTTCTAAAATGCCATTTTAAGACTTCAAGAACAAACAAAGCAGGGCTGTTTCCTCTTCTTTTTCCCTCCTCACCTCCTGGGAAGAACCAGTCGGCGTGCTGGATGATGGGCTCGATGATGCCGACGATCTGTAGGGAAACTGTCGTCATCATCTCCGTGATGTTCCTGGAGCAAACGGAGAAGACACACTTTTTTTTAATTGGGGGGGAGAAGTGTCTGTCTGTCTGTAAGAATTTCACACAGAGGGTGATTAGCACATTTTCATGATATTATCAAAGCATCAAAATGAGAAAATTAAAATCATTTCAGAACTGTGGGCTATTAAAGTACTAATTAAAAGTTAAGGGGGATGACGAGTTTGTAAGATTTACACAGAGATATAAAAGGAGACGTCCTTCACCCTATTCAAAACTGCCAAGTCATCATCTTTCTCCTAAATATATACGGTATAATAACAGCAGTCTCCTATGGATGAAGTTGTGTGTCTGCAGGCCTTTTTGTTAGTAGCAGCCCATGTTTTTTGATTAAGGAAAAAGAGGAAGAGAAACTGAGCTGCAATGAGAGAATCCCTTTGAGTCCCTCCATTCGTTGTCTGCCGCCTTTAATCATCAAGTTACTGCATGAAAAAGTGATTTTAAGGGCCGAGCAGGAGGCAGTGCATGATAAAACCTGCAGCAATTACAATAAAACTAAAGTGACTTCACTCGCTTGCCTCTAATTAAATCTGGCCCTTGCTTTTGTTTGTTTAACTTCATAATTAAATTGTAACTGCAAGTCATGGTATAGAAGGTATCTCAGCACATGCATAATTCATGATGTGAAAATATTAGGATGAGATAGCAGGATGAAATAAGTGCACAATAATAATCAAATCAAACACACGGCACAACTCTTCCTCTCGTCATCAGCTGATTTGTTTCCATTGTTCACTGGTACCAAGATCCAGCATTTTGTGTTCAGTTATGATCACACAGAAGAGGATAAGGTAACAAGCCACATGTATATGCATCTGCTATAACTTACCCATCATTCTGAGTCCACAGCAGGTTGGGTCCGAGGACAATAGCAATGTTTCCAGGCGTCATCTTGTTCACATCCTGGTACTCAGTCAGTTTGGACAGGAATTTGATTAAATACCTGTTAATTAAGGTGCAGAAAACAGACTATTCAATAAAAACAGAATTTAAATGTACATTCAACCTCTCTATCTAAACATTTAGACCATGAAACTGTTACTACTATAAATATTCTGATACACCAGCTGTCATAGGGCGAGAGGCGAGGTAAACCCTGGACAGGTTGCCAGTCTGTTGCAGGACAGACAACACAGAGAGACAGACATTCACAGGTATGGGCAATTTGGATTAACCAATTAACCTATCCCCACAAGCTGCATGTCTTTGGAGGGTGGGAGGAAGCCGGAATACCCGGAGGCAACCCACGCAAACACGGGGAGAACATGCAAACTCCACACAGAAAGACCCCGGCCTGATGGTGGAATTGAACTCAGGACCTTCTTGCTGTGCCGCAACAGTGCTAACCACCGTGCCGCCCGCATTTGGAAAACATGTAAAACAAAAATTAAACATTACCAAAGCAAAATTATTATTTAATTGTTTAATTTAAAATAAAAACACTATTTATAAATCAACATTTTAAAATGAATTGGCTGGCTGTCTCGATTTTTCTACACTGCTGTTTTGTGCTCATAGCCTTGCAGTGCTAAGAAGTGTGTGTGCTTGTATAAAGGCCATTCAGCCTCAGTATTTACACTCTGCCCAACACGGATATATGATGAACGAAGGGTGTGCGCCTGTGGACTCACCCTGACCACCTGTTTCAGGTAACGTGCTAACACGGCTAACGCTAGCGTCACCGCATGTTAGTGAAGAGTTAGGAGCGTGGCTGTTTTGACTGATTGGTTGTAGTGATGGGATTTCCAACTCTTTTTAGAGAACCGATTCTTTCGGCTCGACTCACTAAAAAGATCCGGTTCTTCAGGTTGTTTTGCTGCTTTAATTAATTTATATATGTTTATATATAAATATATATGGTGGCCCCTAGAGACAAAGCACGTACAAACTCCAAAACACATTTCTAGCGTTAACTGAACTTCCAAAACAGAGCTACCTAGATCACTTAAATTACACAAATGAAAGCATATGTGTATTGTTTGTGCATTTATGCACAAGCACTCATATATACTCAAATAATAAAAAATTAAAAAAAAGTTCATTTACCTGTTACTACCAAACACCAAATCCGGTCGTTGGTACTTCCTGGCTTGTGTACCCACTAGGTAACAAAAGCTCAACACTGCCCCTAGCATCCTGGAGCACTTCTGTTGTGTTTGTACATGTTTTGGAGTTTGTACGTGCTTTGTCTGTAGGGGCCACCATAAATATACTTTTATTTATTCACTCCACATAAAATGTAATAAATAAATCATATAATACAAAAACCAACTATTTACATTTCAACTTTTAACTATTTAAATTTTCAGCTTTTTCCTTTTAAACAAATTTAAACACTAAACACTGCAAACCACAACACAATTAAATATAAATATGAAAAAATATAAAAACAAAAAGAAGATGCACATTCTCTTTCATATGGGCCTGCATCAATAAACTTTCTGAATCCTTTATCATCCATAATTGAAAATAGTTGTGGATGATTACTATACCTTTTTAATGTGATGTTGTTGTCCCTGGCTCCCTCCCACTCTGTTCCTGTGCCACTGAGTGTAACTACTGCCCCTCCCCCCTCTTCCCAGCGCAAAGTACAAGGCTCGCGTGCGGAGTGAAGCGGAAAAAAGTGCGAGAGAGAGGGAAAGAAAGGGAAAAAAAACCCACGATTCCCAATAAGGAGCCGGCTCGCGTCGTTCACTTCAAAGAGTGGGCTTTAAGAGCCGTTTCATTTGCGACTGACACATTACTACCTGGTTGTGATACAGGCAGCTGGAGCCAACTGAGATGTGCTAACCCCACCTCTCCTTCAATTTTGTAAGCTGGACCTCGTTTTGATGCCTTTTGGAGCACCTTAAAGAGTTTCTGTGCGGGTTTCAGTTTTGGTGTATTAGCATTATATTAGCCTATATACATGTTTCTGCGCATTATTCCCACACAGTTTATGGATACAGCTGTATCCTGCATGCTGGCATTTGCTGATAAGTTAGCAGTCCACGCTCTCATCCAAAATATGATCACTTCTGGCTCAAAAAAACATAATGATGGCTACATCCATCCCAATATGTTCCGGTCAGTTTCAAACAGCAGATACTGTAGTGTTACAGCTGCAGTCTGAATGATAACTGCGTGCCTGCTGAATGCACGAACCACACTGAGGCAAAGCTTATTATTGCAGCCAACCATTTCTGTGTCTGATGTTTTCAGAAATGGATGGGCTGGTGGATGTCTGTAGCTGAGCTGAATGACTCATCCAGAGCTGAACATCAGGCCGCTCATCACGGCAAACAGCAATCATCTGGACAGGCCTGACAGGTCTCTTCAGAGGAGCACCGTCTAAAAATACGACGCATTTGTGCGATTCGATGATGATGCTGACAAGTGCCGCTGCACCTCGCTCTCCTCATTTCTGTACCATCACTTCCTCTCTTCCTTTTCTCTGTCAGGCCTTTCCACTTTCTTCTTTTGATCAGGAGACAAGCCTTTCAGCATTCTGCATTTAATCCAGCAGCCAACACCTGGGATGCAACGCCTCTTTCTCCACACTGTTTCATAAAGGTCAGAGTTTCTCTTTTCTGGCAGGTGGTGATAAGTAGCGCACAATGAATCAGCCTCCTGAAAGCTGGAAATCATTTTTCAGCTTTCAGGAAGCAAACAGATACCAAGAAGTGACTGAAAATGAAAGAAGAAAAATCCTCGAGAATCAATAGAGGTAAAGCGATATAGCTACGAGTTATTATCTCCCGACTCCACAGCTACCCTCTGATCTACAGAATGGTATTATCTGTATTGTTTTTGGTTCACGCTCAAGTTTCTGAGGAACATTATTCCAGTGTCAAAATAAATAAATATAGTTGCCAATAGTGAAGTGATAGAAGGAGGCCTAATCACAGATTGTTGGTTTAATAGTCTGGCTGCCACCATCTCGGCTTTCATTAATCTGAACCTGACCTTATTTGAACCAGTACTAAAGCTGGCTAGTTCAGGTAGACAGTGATATTAAAATAGATGCTAATCACGGCTAAAAAACAGGTGTGAAACAAAAACCTTTGCATCTCCTCTGAACAGTTGACTCCTGTCAGTGTTATTTAGAAGTGAAATAAGCATATTTCACAGCCTGCTACAAAAATATATTTGGTTTTGCCTCTTTTGCCACAAGCGTACTGAGGATGTATGTCATATATCTCTAGTTTAGAAACTACAGTGCCCCCACTTCACACACTCGCGCTACGTTCCCATATCACGTTTTTTCGATTTCTCTGTAGTCTAACAATAAAGTTTGTTAAATCTTATCACTGTGTCCACTTGAGTCTGCTTATGGGTTCACTCCCATTTACTGGCCACTGTGACAGCAAACTAGGTCTGGTCAAAGAAGAGTATAGTCTAGTGTACTCTAGTTTACTCTACACAAAATGCTCCCAACCTGTTATCCTCAATAGTGCATAACTTAAAGCCTTAAAACAGCAGTAAAAGAAATGTGTTACTGGCGACAAAGACACTTATTTCTGCTCTAAATTTGGGCATTTTGAGGGGATTGATCTTAGACTGTACCAAAAAGATGGGCTTAGCCTCTGTGATACATTGTGGAAGTGTTTGGTCACCATGATGGTGATTTGGAGCCAGATGTGACCATATTTAGACAATAAGTTGCACTTCTAAATTATCAATAACTAGCTTTTTTATGCAAACTGCAATCATACTCATAAAATCTACATAAATATGTGCAACACATAAACACACATACCTGCTAATTAGCCTAAATCACATAAATATACTGGAATTTCAGTAACTATATGTGAGTCACAAATGTCTTGGATGGTCTATTCTTCACAACAAGTCAAACAGTTTGTTGGATAATTCCATTAAAATGTTTTAAAAAAAGGCATAAACCAACTGTAAAAGTCCAGTTCATTGACTAATTAGCAGCCATGAGGCTCAGGAGAAAACAACTGGCAACAACTCCTCACCAATTAAAACCACTGAGCTGCCCTCATACAGTTTTTATAACTGAGGGAAACTGTGCCCTGAGACCACAGCTGATGGTAAACATATTCCTGCTTTAAAGTTGGGCATTTTAACATGAGAGTCTGTGGGGACTGACTGCCTTTTGGCATTTGCCTCAAGTGGCCATTAGAGGAACTGCAGTTGTTGGCGCTGGCTTATTTTAAAAAGCAATTTTGATTTAGGTTTTTCTAAAGATTTCTCTTTGAACTTATTTTACACACTACAGATGCAACAGAAACACTCAGGGACAGTCAGCAAAGATACAGGTGACAGACTGGGGACTCAATGAGATGAACATTTTGGCCCAGCTATTTCTGACCATCAGGTCACTTTGTCATGTCTTTGGTGGTTTCCTTCAGTTAAATGAACTCCTCTTTATAGGCAGAGCCAGCCAGTCTTATATGCAGTTATATAAGGAGGTAAGGCAGAAAATAGACCTGATTCCTTCGATATGCAGTTAAAAAACCAAAATGAGCCTGACTGGGAGGTTTCAGCTGGTTAACCAGATTATTTGGCCAATATATGAAAAAAGAGAGAACCAGGAGGGGAGTGAAACATGGAAACGCTGACTCACCTAAAGTTGGTGTTGTTGGCTGAAGGGAGTTTCTCACAGGCATTGAACAGAGCCTGCAGGCGCTTGTCTTGATCTTGAATGCTGCAGGATGACATGAAAGATTGGTTGTAAAACAACAGTAGGTCGAAGAAATGCCTTTAACACGAAGATGGCAACATTGGTCTGAGATGATACACACTTTGAGGCTTGGATCCAGTCATTGTAGAGTTCAAAGGTCATTAATGGTTCAGGGAGCTCGCGCAGGTAGGACTTCAAAGCACCTGGAGAGAGCACAGCAAGAACCATGGTAAATACATGTCTGCACCCGTGTATTTCAGCACATGGAAGCACCCGTAGAAGGAAAGAAAGAAAGATGGAAACAAAACAAGAAAATAGAGAAGCAAAGAGGAAAAGCGGGAAAGAAAGTAAAAGGAAGCAAGTAAGGAAAGAAGATAGCAGACAGGCAAGGAAGGAAATGAAGAAAGTAAAGACGTTTATCAAGAAATAAACAAACCACCAAACAAAGATGACAAACGTTTTGAAGCAACCATCTGCTCCATGATTAGTGCTTCAGCGTGGACTCTGTCTGATCCAGCCGAGCCCAGATCTGATCGTATGTACTGCATGAGAGTGAGTGTAATTTCCTGCAGCTCACTGCACAATGGCATTAGATTTCAGATTAAATCACTTTATATAGGAGCACATCTTATGTGATGTGTATATATTCAAATTCCAGGCTGAAAGGCCTTCCTTGCCAGCAGTCTCCATTACTCTGGTCCCCATGACAAAAAGCCAGTGGGATTTTCCATAATTACAAACACAAGTATGTTTATTCAGAACAGAAAATCAAAATCAAATGATTGTTTTCATGACTAGAAAAAGTTTATGTGCCTGTGAAAAGTCTGTCTGTGCACGGTTTGTCCCATCAAGTGCTCAGAAATGAGTCCCACTGGTCTACGCAGCTATCCTGTAAAACTACACAAATCCACATCGAGCTTCCGTCTGACCAGAACTGAGTTTTCCTTTACTGATGAGGAAGGACACAGCTGACCGGGCTTCACTGCGACGTGTCGTCTTCTCTCTTTGGCCTGCCGCTTCCATTCCCCAGAGGGATGGACGACAAACAGTTGTGTATACATATGCATATACATATAGGTGGTGCACTGATGGTGCAAAATAAATGCCTGCAGTTACACTGAACCAGGGCTTCCACCTCCTCCTCCACAGTGGGACGAATTAAATTTGCTGGTGGAGCTGACCCAGTTTAATATGGGACCATTAAAGGGGAATAGAGCTCAGAATAGGACATTTTCTCCACATGCTCCGGTGAGCTGTGAGTTAAATTGAGATTTAATACTGCATTATTCTGCACTGGTTGAAAATGACTCTTTTTTTTCTGACTTTCATACTCGGCTGAGAAATTAAAATCTTCACTGTGCATCAGAGAGGTTTTCAGTTTGTTTGTAAAAGCAAAGATTTAATAGTTTGGTCATGAAACAATTAAGACACATTTTTCCAACAGTAGTACGACAGCTAGGCGAACAAACACAGGACTTAAATGATCTGGCTTATATACAAAAAATAAAAAACTGCGTTTTGCTACAATATTCTGTTGCAAAAAAACAACCCAAAAACACAAGGACATCCGTAGAGTACGGCGGTTTCCTCAGCAAAGAAAACCAAAGAAGCCACTGAACATAAAACAAATGTTTTTGAAAACACACTGACAAATAATTTACTACAAATGCTGCAGATGATTATAACTGAGAGCCTCGTCATTTTAGAAATAAAAGAAAGATTACTAGCGAGACACCTCTCTGTGCTGAAAGGATGCTTACCATTAAGTTTTATTTTTCGATAGAAAAACAGCCGGTGTGATAATTTTAAGAAAAATGCACTTGTTTTTAAGATAAAAATATTTTCCACAGCTTGTAAAAAGCTTTTCATTTGGAGATGTATGGTTTTCATCTGACAACAGCAATATGCTGCTGCAGTAAAAAAAAAAAAGATCAATAACAGCATCATAAAAGCTTGAAAGCTTTTCTTTCTTTTGTAGTTTGTCACAGTGCAGCTTTAAAAGCGAATACGTGACAGAAACAAAAAGACGTTTTTTGTTGCATCCTCTCCAGAAGATGAAGAATCTGTCTGACACTAATCCCAGTTATATTTGGAATTTATCACTGGGCATTTCTTGGATAGTTTATTGAAAGTGGAAGAAAAACACTTTGCTTTGTCTGCAGACACGCGAGCAGTGACCACAGAAGCAAAGTGAATCCTAATCGAGCCTAAAGTTCCTGTGTCACACCAGCAAAATAACCTTTAAGAGGAAATTTACTGCAAACAGCAGCAGGAGAAACAAAGACAGGCAGCAGAAGGGATTAAAAATGTTTCTTTGATGCGAGCAGCCTGATTATGATTATATTCATTCATTGACAACAGGAGGGTAGCTCAGCATAAGGAAAATAACAGAAATGTACAGAAACTAGACTCCAACAAGCCAACGGGGGCCAACTCATAAATCTACCCCTGTGAGGCAAATTTCAATGGATTATCAGTTGTCATGGGAACACATGATGTACAACCAGGAGGCAGGGAGGAAGTCTAGGTATGTGGCAGTGTTGTTGATAGCTCACCTGCGATGGCGTGTGGGTCTGCGGAGTATTCTTGCACGTCTAAAACCCCGCAGTCCAGAGACGCCTTCAGCTTTTTGAGTTTGGAGGCCGAGGGAGCGATTCTGAACAAACCCTGAGACACAGAAACGAAGCCAAGGTCACTTAACTCCAACAGCAGGAGAATTACACAGGCTGAATTTATTTTGTGTTACAAATGCCTGATTCTCTTAGTAGCAGAAGAGTGTAAAATGCTACATTAAAAGTCCAGCTTTCAGAATTAAAGGTGTCATGTCCCATTTCATCCATCCATCTATGCTCTACTTCTTATCTGAGTCACAGGGCAGCACTCTGAGCAGTAAAGGCTTCTTCCATTTCATACTGACACCCTCCTAAAACACCCTGGTGTGGGGTGGTTGACCCATAGTTTTGAGTTTTGGGCTTCTAAGTTCTGTTCTGTAGTCACTTCATGTTGTTTCTTAGTTGTCGTGTTTTTCTGCTTTGTTCCAGTTATCTATGTTAGTCCTCCGTTCAGTTTACTCTGCCTCCCTGCTGTTCCTCGTGTATTGTTAAGTATTCGTCTGTTCCTCTGTTTAGTTATTTCCTGTTTTATTTTGGTAGCCTTTGTCTTGTGCATTGGTATTTTGTTGTGCTTTTCCTGTCTAGTTTACCTGATTTGTTGCAGCTGGGCTCCCTGGTATTTCCCATCTCCCTAATTACCTGGTGTGTTTTTAATGTTACCCTCTCTGATGGTTGTGTCTCCTTGCCTTGTGTTCACTGAGTTTTTGCGTGTTTTGAATTTCCTTCTCTGCATGTAATTTGGCTTTCCCTGTATTGTAAAACACCAGGATTAAGGATGCATTTTGAATTCATTTCTGGATTTGTGAGTGCATTTGGGTCCAAATCCTGGCTGCTACACAACCAAACCTTGTGCTGGGGCTGCTGCGAGGTCTTCTGAAGCTTAGACATGTTTGAAAGACCTTGTCGAGAAGGTGTCCAGGAGGCATATTAGGAAGTTACCTGAATCATCTCAGATGGTTCCTTTCAATGCTCCTGACCCTAATCTCTAAGGCAGGTTTGAAATGTATGTGTACACACAGGCTTTACCCCTAACACCTGATATGTAATTAATGGGTTACCTGTAGAATTTTTGAGTCACGTTTTCACTTTGTTTCTAGTAGTTTTAATGAAAAGTTAAACTTTTCAACCAAATCACGTCATGTCATAGTCAGGAAGTGACGTGGTTGCTTGTGCAGTTTGCCACCAAAACGAAGGAGAAATTGATCGTAGTGATATGTGATCACCTCGCTGTACAGGAACAAATATCGTAACCTGCAGCTAGCATGGCTCTGTATCACTTTATTCTCACTTTACTCTTTTTTTTCACCCTCACCATCCAGCAGGTCACAGCACATATTTAACCCTCCATGAGCCTGGTACTGCTGGAGGTCTCTTCCAGTTAAAAGTGGGTTCTTCCTTCCCACTTTTGCCAAGTGCTGCTCATTAGGGGATAATTTGATCATTGGGATTCTCTCTGTAATACTCTATTTACCTTACTATAACAAACACCTTGAGGCAGCTATTGTTGTTAGTTAAATAGCCCTAATCATCTGGCATGTGTGAGTACTGCCCAAGTGAGAGCCCAGACATCCTTAGCACCCTTACAAAGCCAGCCTCTGCAGTTTCTCTTGTTTTTTTGAGTCACCCACCCACAGTTTATGGTCATAGATGAGAACAGGAATGGATATTGACCAGTAAATCCACAGTTTTGCTTTCATGCTCAGCTCGTTGTTCACAACAGCAGATGGATACAATTTCTGCTGCACCAATCCATCTGTCAGTCTCCTGCTCCACTCTCCCTCACAAGACACTGAGATCCACTTGGTGCAGCAGCACTCGGAGTGGGTGCTACATCCTTTTCCAGCTGAGAGAACCATATACTTGGACTTGGCGGCGTTAAACCTTGTTCCAGCTGCTTCATGTTGGGTTTCATAAAGCCAACAGCACCACAAATTCTGCAAAAAGCCGATCCTGTAACTACTGAATCAGTCGCTTTTCAGACATATGACATTACTCAATTATACCTATGGATGTATTAATGTGTGAGCATTAGTTTAATGTTCCAGCTGATTATTCGTTTCAGGCTTGGCCCCCGATTAGATTTCCCTCTGGTAATTAAGACTGACTTCATCTCCGCGGTGACCTCTGCAACATTTCACACCCATAAATGTGTTTCTTGTGTGTCGTGTGAAAAGCGACCGGTTTGTTTACCTCTTCCTGCATGCCACACTCCAGCAGCATGGTCACACAGGCCTCAATGGGAAAGGCAATATCTCTCCCGCTGAGCGCTAAGTGCTCCTCTAATGGCTTCCCGTAACACGGTTTCTCCACCCAGGTCTCTGTGAAAACACACACACACACTTAGAGTTATTCACACACAAATGCCCAGATCATTCTGCAGCAGCTCTGCTTTTATGATCTTATGACTGCAGCGATTCAGAGTTTATCAAATAATTTTTTTCCAGACTGCAAAGCGATGCCAAAACAAAGAGAATGAGTTTGAAAATGTTTTTTACTCACTATATGCAATAGTTTCCAACTATACCATTACAGAGTTATACTGTGAATGCCATAGTTAACAGAGACAACAGTTATTTGGCATATTTTACTGGTAAAATGACAAACTGTGCTAACAAAAACACATTCATGGATAACATGACTCAATCACTCAGTCATCCACTCTATCAATATATAAAGATTTAATAAAGAGTTTCACACACAATTACTGTAATCACATTACATTTTCCTGTTATGTAGTAATCAAGTGCATTACAGTACTAATTTAAGTTATTAAACTACACCTGATAGTCACAATTATGTTGTTGCTTGAGTTTTACAAGTTCTTTTCCCTCCATTGAGTCGTTTAAAACCAGACTTATTTTACCTTTGATTCTCTCTGATTTGCTCATTTCGTCTCCTGTGACTTTTCAGCCACGACTGTGTATGTTTAGCACCTACTAACATGTAGTTGACTTATTTCTTATCTGTTCTGTGTTTTGTGGAGCAAATTTAACAGCAGAAACTACTCTGCTCAAAATAAGTTAGGGAACACTTCATCATCGCATTACAACACAAAGCCAGTTATACTTCAGGTACACCAATCTGTCCACTTAGGAAGAATAAGCCACTGTGGACCCATTTCCGCTGCTTTGGTGCAAATCAAAGTGACAGCAGGAAAATTTTCCCTCTTTATCCCTCCTGGCTGATTTTTGTCTAGTTTTTGCTTTTTGTTAGTTTCTTGTCTCTATGTCTAGGGCTTTTATTGTGAAAGGAAACACATGCATATCATCAAATCAGGTTTCTGCTCCAGATTGGACATTTTGGTTTCTATTAAAGCAAAACACTGTAAAGTGTATCATCAGAAATGTAACAATTAACAATTAAATTTAACAATTTATAAAAATTTAAATTCTTCATGTTTAGTGTTATATGTGAAGTGAATGTGGCGACACTACAACTTCCATCAGGCATGAAATAACTTCAGTTAATGTTATAAAGAAATTCTCAGCAGCGTCAAACCAGAAAACACAATGTAGGTAAATGGGTGATAAAAGCACTTGAAAGGATAAACAAGCACCACTTTCATTTGTACAGCCCGACACATTGTGTTTACCCATTGTCGCTGTAATATGGACTACAGCAGAGGCAAATGTAAGCAGTTAGAGAGAAAGAATAACAAAATAAGACTGCAGCATGTTGGTCTGAGACTCACCCTGATGAGCTTTGATCTGAGGCAGAACACTCTGAAGCAGCTCTAATGACTTCCTGTGGTACTCTGCCTGGACTTCTATCAGCTAGACAGAGACAGACAGAAAAAGGCAATCTATAGGGTGTGTTTCTTTTTCTTTTTTGTCTGTTTTAGTCATGCGGCTGTCTGAAGAGATGTGAGTGCACTTACTGTCTGGAAGTAGCTTGCATAGTCAATTTCTTTGGCCACAAAACTGTACATGTCTGCTGATAACTGATCCTGAAAACACATTTTGAAGCATAGAACGCATGAAAAACAAAAAGAGACACAAGGCACGTAACAGTCTGAAAAATGTGTTTTTGCAGTTCAAACCTTTGTCTATTTAGAGCAGGTGTATTATTATTATTATCATTTGATATAATGTCACATTAAAGAGTCCTTAGAAAGCATGGCAACTCAATTAATGTAGCTGAGAAAGAGCCATTATTAATGCCATTAGATACACTGATACAAATCAAAATATATGCTTCAAAAAGTGTTTAAAATAATTATTAATATAATCAAAGTACTCTCATATTTTTGGGAATACCTAAACCCAGAACTTCACACTAATTTATGGCCACTTGAAGCCAGCTAATAGCTAAAAGTGCTCATATCTGTATGTATAGAAGTTAGATTTAAAAAAAATCTCTCCTCTTTCTTCTATTTGCTCAAAGTTTGAAAAATTTTGTTCTATATTCTTCTGCTGAAAGTGGAAAGTTTGTCTGTTCTCACCTCATATCACATTCAGTTACACACATTTGTGCAGCGTTAGAATACCAATCAGGTAAAGCGCCAAACTGTGCTGAGCCAAAAAAGCCCAAAAACTCTATTTTGGTTTTGTAATTTCATAAATGACAAATTTCACAAAACTTTTGCCTTTCTTGTCTACGAGAGATAACATATCATGGCTGACTAGGATGCCTATAATGACGCGAGTCATTGCTTATTGTAGTAATTACACATGATTTCCTTGTTTCCTGTATATTGTGCACATAATAGGTCAAACGGTCCGTTAAAAGGATGTATATGCACATGCAGGATGTGGAAGCTTGAACAATCTTGGAAGCAAGAATGGGCTATTTCAGGACATTTATAAATATCCTTGTAGGTTCACTTTACAAAAACATCAACAAAAAAAAGATGACAACAATCTACTTGATACATATAACAACTAGATAGATAGATAGATAGATAGATAGATAGATAGATAGATAGATAGATAGATAGATAGATAGATAGATAGATAGATAGATAGATAGATAGATAGA